GTTTACGTAAGTAAACTAAGTAAGTAAATAAGTAAATGCCGCTTACGGACATTAACACTGTCTAATTTATGTGCTTTATATACCGAGTACTTTCAGAATAAACAGTTGGGAATTATTAGAGAGAATGCGTCTAGAGTATTGCACTAGGGGGTGCATCGTCTTTTTTTGCAAAAAGTGCGAAAAGATAAAAATTTTCAGGTTTGAATGCCAATGGATTGGAAATTAAGCAACAAGCTCAAGAAGGTATGACATTCCTCAATCTGACGTTTAATTTCAGATTTTAGTCAAAAATACGATTTTTCTTTCCAGTCTTTCAGTCGTAGTTTTGTTAAATCAAGGCGTACCGCTAAAGGACCGACAGTTGAACAGCTTGCTCCTCTGCTAACGATACCAATTACTTTAAGAAAAATTTATTTTTTGACAAGTTTTCGCGTTTTTAAGGGGTGCATTCCTAGGTAAATTAATTTTTTTTTAAATTTTCGCATTTTTTAATGGGGTTTTCGCATTTTTAAGGGGTGCAACCCTAGGTACATCGGGGTGCAACCCTAGGTACATCTGGGTGCAATCCTAGGTGCATCTGGGTACATTTCTAGGTACATGTTGCAGGTGCATTGAAAAAGAGTGCGTCCAGATGCATGCAATGGGTGCATTCTTTTTTGTCCCGCACCCGTGTAAAAGGAATGGACAGACTCATCACTTTCGGCACAGGTTTTTGGTGTCATCGCATAATGAAAGAGCGGGTGCTGGAATGCAGTCATTTACTACTGTGTTTTGCAAGCAAATGAAATGCTTGACATGTCTTGTTCCTTTTGCTGGCTCGCTTATTTCATTTAAAATTTTTTTTGCTTCCCTTTTTTTTGCCTGTGGCATCAACAAAAAAAAGATATAAAATTAAAATAAAAAGATATATGCAAACAGAACAACATTTTGTTGTTGTGCGTTTAACTTTTTCATTCCTTTCCTAATCGTTTTTATTTATTTTTTCCGCTTGTCTTATGCTCTTGTGAGGCAATTTGCACCACTGACCCTCGAGGACCTTCAACTTATCTGGTTTTTTTTCGGGGGGTTCTTAATGTCTGGCAATTTGATAAATTGCATAAGAATTATCGTTCAGATTCACAGGAATATTTGAGGAATATTAAGATGTGCAAAGACCATAAATCGTGCGATTTATTTAACGCAATTAATGCTGATGTTGATTTGGGTTGGCATTTGGTCTGTCTGCTCTTGTTTTGCGTTCATTGAACGGCATATTTTGACTTATTGACACTTCACATTGCCCGACATTTGCCTTAATTGCCAAAGGAGACATACATATATGCTTTATGTATATTTTTGCATTATTTATTAGACTTCAGACAACATAAATTCGCCTTCTCATTGTATTTTCGGTTTGTTTTGCTTTAATTACCCGAACTGAACAGACGAAAATTTCTGTTGGCAGTGAAGATGTTTATTCTAATACAATAAATTAATGTAATTGGTTTGATTTATGATGAGGTTAGCAGACTACAAAGATTTCTATTTTCTCTTGATTTTACTTTCTCTAAAATACTTGTCATTCCATTGGCGTTAAGATATATTGTTTGTACATATGTTTGTTTTTCTTAATATATGCACTTAACATAATTAGTATATAATTTGATTTTAATATTGAAGGCCTCTCAGCTTATAAATTTTGTATTGCTTAATCAATTTGTTTAAAGCACTCTACCCAATCAACCGATCCGACCCTCAATTTTAATTAAACTTATTAATATTCAATACTTAAATACTGAGACCCTTGAGCATCACCATAGCTCCACCTAGAAAATATCATTAATTTTATTCAATTAGGGCCCATCAGCAAAATGTTATTTTATCAACAGGGAAAATTCATTTAATTTTGCAGACAATCACATTGAAATTGATTTACTCGCATTTGAATTTCTGTGTGGAATTCTCTTAAAACACAAATAATTTGTCATTTTCCAATGCCATATATTCGATATGTGTTTGCTCTTTGTGCTGTCACTTGTCCGCCGTTTGCCACCCACCACTCACTTCCTACCACCTCCTACTTTCTCCCACCGAATGACATTGAAGCTGGAATTCAATTATGCCATTGAATTCATTTAATTTCTCTGCACAACACGATTTTTATCACCGGTTTATGGCCGTTGATTAATTTATGCCATTATTATTCTCGATTATATGAGGAATTTACCGCTTGGCTGAATGGATCGTTCACATGGAATTCAAGTGGACCAAGAAAAATCAAATATTTGAGATACCAGTCACTGAAATAACTTGGCCAAAATGTCGCACTTGACTTGACCCAGAAAAACATTCTCATTTGCATATTTACATTGCCTATCTGGATGGAATTTATTGTTGCTGTTCCTGTCGAAAGCAGCAGCAAAGAAAGCTAAAAACATATAAAAAAATCCAAGAAAATATTTTCCCTTTACGTAAACGACAGCGATGCAAGAAATTCCAAACTGACGGAAAAGCAAGCGCAGATATTTCAACAACTTCTGACTGCCAAGTAGAAAAAGGGGGGCGGCATGGCGGATGGGGGGCGTGGCCGCCGTCTTCGCTCGTGTTTATCTCTGCCGGGTGCCATCCTCATCCCCAATCCCCATCCTCATCGAGATTCGCATAGTTAGTTGTTTCGCTAGCTGCTCAATGACATGTGCTGTCTGAGTGCCAAAAAATAAGAGGGGAAAACCAAAAAAAAAAAAAAATAAATAGCTAGGACTGGACGCCTCGCAATGTTATTGTATCTTGCAGATGCGAAATTGAAGGCATCGGGCAAACGGCGAACGCCGAGTTCAGCGCACTTTGAAAACTGTTCGTTGCCCTGATTTTGATTTTGGATTTGGCTTTGGCTTCGCCCAAGCAGATGCCCAAGATATATAATACCAAAAAAGAATCGGAGCTCTTCTCTCTATGTCTTGTGCACAGAGAGAAAATTATGTGTCTGAAAGGTCAATTTTATGATACCTTTTATTTGTGGCAAATGCATCATAATAATATCTTATGGATGAATGGTTTAAAAATGTATTGAAAAAACTGTTGAGAATTTTAAGAGTCCTTTGGGAAATTTTAAAGTTAACATTTTAATAAGCTGTGTATTTGTTTTACAAAGTTCTTAATATGATGATTCCGATCAAAAACACTTTAATTTTATTAATTTTGATAAGAATTTATAAGTATAAATGAAAAAATATCCATAAACAAATTTAACAATTTGCTCTGTATGATGTTTAATTATTTAATGCTTTTTCAGCTAAAAATTTTCTTAACTAATCAATTAGCCTATTCTATTTTGATATCTTTTCGAACCGAGTGTAATGATTTATATGTACCACAACCATTCCTTTCAATTGATATTTCCTTTTCTTTCTCTGTGCGAGGGGGCTGGCAATATAATTGCGTGTAAAGATTAACTTATTTATGTGTGTAAAGAGGAGGTGGAGCTGCACGCGTTCCCCGCGCATTTGTTATGCATCTGTGTAATCGTATCTTAAAGATACAATTGCAGCCGGGCATTGTTGTTGTCGCGGTGCTCGACGAAGGCGATGGTGGTGGCTCGTGCCCAACTCCACAGATGGCCCACGTCTGCCTGGGTTTCTGTTGTGGTTACACTTTAATTTACTAGCCATCAAGTGCACATTTATAATTGGAACGATGCCAGCCAAAGGGGAGACCCCAGAGTGGCTTCTATCTGTCCGTATCCGTATCTGTATCTGTATATCTGTGTCTCTGTCGTCCCTTCCCCTTGACTTTCCCTCCGCCCTCCTGCGACTCTATTTACTGGATCTTTCCCTTATTCTTGGCTTGCCGGTCGGTCATAACTGTCAGAGACAAAACGCCGCAGCTTAAGAGCAGGCAAGTCCTCATAGTTGCAGTACTGCAACTGCTCCACAATGCTGATAGATTAGTTCTCTAATAGCATCGCAATCCGCATTCAGACGGCACAATAGCGGAAAAGGAGGAGGAGCGATGAGGTGGCTTTACAAGTGACCACTTTAAGCCAGACACTTGGCGGACCTTTAAGCAGAGCCACCCAGATGTGGGCCAACTTTGCTGGCCATGTCGTTTGCATTTGCACAAAAGTCGGCACAGTAGAACACTACATGTGCAGGAAATTTAAATAAATTGTTTAAAGATTTCTCTATTCATAATTATATAAATATATTTATAATTCTATTTTTACATAGGGTCATCGAAAAGCACATTAAATGTTATTTCGGTCAAATTTCTCAATGTCATGTTACTGAAACTGAAAAAAATATATTTCTTTTGATTGCTTTATTAATCTTGTTTTTGAAATATTTCGCCCAAAAAATTATTTAAGTATAAGCTAGTAATATCAAAAATTCTGTAAAAAGGAATTTTTAAAGACATTTTTGTAATATTGCAAAGTTTCCTAGAAACAATATGGACTGCTTGTCACAAATTGAGGCAGAAATTTATCTGCAAAATTGCTTTCTGTGACACGAGAAGACATTTCTGTCGCTTTTGACATCTTTTGGCACCTCATCAAAAAGCAAGCCCTGAAAAATGTGTATTTATTTTGATAAAATATTGCTAAGAACAACATTTTTAAACAAATCAAATTTTTATGACACTGCGCGGTAAATATGATGGCCCAAAGTGAAAATTTCCTCATTCCACAGAAACCAAGAGAGCAGCCTTGCTTGGGCATAATTAAGAACTGGGTCGAGTGTAGATTTTTGGCTGCACTTCTCCCATATATATTTTTTTTTGGCCAGTCAGAGAAAGGGAAAAGCGCAGCCACAGTTACCAGCAACTTTTTGCCAGATTTTTCCCATACATACGTAGATACGTCAATCCCCGAGAGCGATTGCCTCCACTTCGCTGCACATCGCCCACTCGCCTCGTGGATAATTAATTGATTGCCCATTTGATTGAACGTTTGATGGATGAGTGCTGTCCCAGTGTTTTGGCTCGGTTTGCTAACGGATTCCCCATCCTTTCTCTGTCTCTTGCAGTAATTTGCATCGGCTGTTAGCGGAGCAGCCTCGACATCAGACCCATCCTCAGCCCCGGTTCCAGATCCAGCCTCGAGAGCAGTAGCAGTAGCAGTCACAGCCAGATCCACATCCACATCCAGCTCCACCTCCGCATCCACAACCACATCCACATTCACAGACATGGTGATAAGCAAACCCGATGGAGCGGCGCCCAATGGAGCGGCGGGAGGAGCGGGCGCCACACCAGCCGCACAGGCAGCTGCTCCAGCTGGCCTCGATGCCGCCGGGAATAGTCTGGCGCATCCCTCGGGGATACCGCAGGACCAAATAGACAATATCATGAGCGGCATCGCCAATACCGGCAACGTCAAAATGAACAATCACCGCAAGAAGCTGCGACAAAGGTGAGTGCTCCTTCAACAATATTAATCTGTATTTCAAACATCAAACTTAAGTAAGTGGCATCAGGACTAAAAGTTAAATCGTTTGCATTTTAAAGGTAAATGGGTACACAGAAATATTAAATGTATATCTTGCTTAATAAATATTCATTATAATAAATATAATAGATTCCTTTTTAGCCTCATACAATTTCTATTCAACATCCGATTTACTATGGTTAATCCTCTGTTTCTTTTTTAAGATTTTTAAAGCCTTAAACAGTTCCTAATTGCTATTATTACCAATCAGACTTTTTGGCAGCTAATGATATATAAGTAAATAAAATTTAAAATGTTTCTAGAGTCTATTTTTAAATCAGAACTTTTAAATTGGATATCTTTAAATAAAAATAACTTTTTAGTTTTATATTTATTTGAATATATATATTAACTTTATTATTTATCTTCCTTTCAGATTTGATATTATTAAGAAACTAGGACAAGGCACCTACGGCAAGGTGCAATTAGGTATTAATAAGGAAACCGGCCAGGAGGTGGCCATCAAAACCATCAAGAAGTGCAAAATCGAGGCCGAGGCGGATTTGGTGCGCATCCGGCGCGAAGTGCAGATCATGAGCTCAGTGCATCATCCCAACATCATCCACATCTACGAAGGTAACTAACTTATTTGGTATAAAAAGCAAGTACAATTATAATTAAACATAATTTCAGTATTCGAGAACCGTGAGAAAATGGTGCTAGTCATGGAGTTTGCCGCTGGCGGCGAGCTCTACGACTATCTGTCCGAAAGGAAGGTTCTCACCGAGGAGGAGGCGCGTCGGATCTTCCGCCAGGTGGCCACCGCCGTCTACTACTGTCACAAGCACAAGATCTGCCATCGCGATCTCAAACTGGAGAACATCCTGCTGGACGAGAAGGGCAATGCCAAGGTGAGCTAAGGGTTTTTAAGTAAAATCTCTAAGCAAACATATTCCATACAACCCATTTTTAAATTAATCAAAACCAAGATTATCAAATCTTATTGTTTGGAAAGGTTTTAAATTGATTCGAAGAAAGAAAGCGTTTTAGAATATAATTTTATTATTTATTTATGATTTTTCTGGAAGGAAAGACATGGTCTTAACTAAAAAACCCTTTAATTGATATATAAGGCAATGTAGTAACTTATTTTACTAACAGATTAAGGAGAATATAACTTGTACAGTTATTTTAGAGCAACATATTAAATTTGTCCCATTTTCAAAATAATCATATACCAACTAATCAACCTCCTGAATTGTTTTTATAAGGGTTTCATCTTTATTATACTTTTTAATTAATTGCTATTTAATAACTACCTATTTTAATATAAAATCTAATTCTTTCTTTTCAGATTGCGGATTTTGGTCTGTCGAATGTGTTTGATGACCAGCGCCTGCTGGGCACCTTCTGCGGTTCCCCACTCTACGCCTCGCCAGAAATCGTGGAAGGAACTCCGTACCAGGGGCCCGAGGTGGACTGCTGGTCACTGGGCGTGCTGCTCTACACGCTGGTCTACGGCTCCATGCCCTTCGACGGGTCCAACTTTAAGCGGCTGGTGAAGCAGATTAGTCAGGGTGACTACTATGAGCCCAAGAAACCTTCGAGAGCCTCTACTCTGATCCGCGACATGCTGACTGTGTGTCCAAGGAAGCGGGCTAGCATTGAACAGATCTGCTCGCATTGGTGGGTGAACGAGAACGATAATGTATCCTGTCTGGACTTGGCCGAGGATCTGGCCAATCAGACCCCCGTGCGATTGGATGTCCTGCTGTCACTCACGCCGGCCACAATTACGGCGGATCAGCTGGTGGTGCCATCGGCGGAGGGAGCTGCTGCAGCCAAGGCGGCGGCCAATGAACGCGTTCCTCGCTCCCATTCGGTGGGCTCGATCCGGGACATGGGACCACCGAACACGGAGGCGGAGCGCCGCATCCTGGACATGGTGGCCGGTAAGTCGAAGTCCATCTTCCTGCTTGTCGCTTCTGAAATCGCTTGAGTGGTCCCCAGTGTGTGAGATAGAAGTCCCCGTGCAGCAACCCGCGCTCAGAATCTTGAGTAATAGGATGGGTCGATTTGTAAGGACACCAGACTGTCGAAAAATCGATGTAATCTATGATAAATGCTAGGCAATGTTGGAGTAAAGGATTGTTAAAAAAAGTTTTCATTATTTTTGTACGATTAGTCTTTTGATCTATTTGTTGATATAGTAATGAAATACTTATATAGACATCTGTTAATTTAATTAGGTATCTAAAATCAAAGACAATAAGTTTACCTTTGTAGCACAATATTGCCTAGCTGAATTCGTAGATTGCAATCCAGTGCAGATAATGGTCCAGCAAATCATCCCACCCTATTGTGTATATAAATGGAGACTAACTGGCTGCCCAATACACACCGACACCAACCGACCTCCGACCTACCAAACACACTAACTGATCCTCCTCCTGAAACCAAATCCCAACCACATAACCCCATCACTGGCGAGTGTACTAAACCACTTGGAACTAAAGTCATTTAACCAAACTCATTAAACCACGCCACCCTTTCTCTCTCTCTCTCTCTCTCTGTCTCTGTTTCGTGAATATTTTTCAGCTGGTGGAGAAGCCGCACTGATGCCCTCACCCACCAGGACCATTACTCCCGCCCAGAGTCCGGTGCAGACGAAGAGGAAGCTGCAGCCCACTGTTTCCACGGAGAATGCAGCCGGAACCACAGCCAAAAAGAAGGAGAAGCCGGCCAATAGCTCGTTTGTGATCAGCAAGGATGGGGCGCCACTGACTGAGGCACCTCCACCCACCATCATCGAACCCCAAGTCACGCCCATGGAGGCGGAAACGATTGCCAATGTACCAGAGGAAGTTCCAGCTCCCAGTTACTCCCAGAAAGACATGCAAATGGTGGGTGATCTCTGCGAACAGCTGATGGGAGATGGAACCAAAAGCAGCAGCACCACCTCACCGGCAGCTGCACCACCTGCACCCACACCAGTTTCTCGCCAGGCCACCAGGGGAAAACTGGACGCTGTGGTGGAGACTCCGGAGGAGAAGGATGCCACCAAGGTGATCAAGAAGTTTGTGAACAAGCACAAGACCGCCGATCTGGTGAATGCCATCAATGAAAGTGCCTCCAAGGCCACGGCGCCAGTGGTGGCTCCACCACCCTTTGTGCGCAAGTGCAGCCTGCAGGATGAGTCCACGCTGAACAAGTTCAATGCGGAGCGGAGGAAATCGCGAATCCTGGAAACTGCCGAGAAGTTCCAACCCCCGCCGCCGGTGACAGGAGCAGGAGCAGCAGCAGCTCCGGAGAAACCCAAGAAACTTAGCATACCCGGCGTCAGTGTGGGCAGTTTTAAGAAGGAGTTCGAGAAGAAGGCCACCAATCCGCCGCCTGTCGAAGGGCCCACGCCCGGTGAGCTGAGGGCTCAGGAGCAGGTTGCTGCAGCGGCTGCGGCCGCCCAGGAAGCCGAAGCCCTGAGCACGCCACCCCCGTCACCAGGGGTGGCCCAATCCCTGGAGGGCAGCGACTCTAAGAACTCGGTGGCCTCGGTTTCCCTGGACGAGGCCCGACGCTCCATGGAGAACTCCATTGCCCTACTGCTGCAGGCCCAAAACGAGTCCAGCAAGGAGGTGGACCAGCTGTGTGCCCAAACGGAGACCATCGGGGTCAGTGAACCCGCAACTCAGCAGGAGCGCGAGCGTAAGTTGAAGAACGCCCGCGCCATCATCGGAAATGCCATTCAGCCAGGTGAGTGATCTCTGCATGATAGGTCCTAAGACTACCACACCATAGAGATTATGATATCCGTACCTAAGTTAAGCTAAACCACGCAGCGCTTTCAAGTTGACTACTAGCATTACTTAGCACTAGTATCCGGGATCTGGTTTTGAATCACGGTGCAAGTCAAAAGTCAGGTTAACAGATTTATAATCTATTAAACACAATATATAAATTTAGAAAAATTTTTGGAACCAGTATTTCAAAATTTAAATGGAAAAAATTCGATAAAAGAGGTATATCCTTTAATAATTTAATACTTATTATCCTTAAGACATACAATATGTATTTTACTTCAGTGCAATGCTTGTATTTCTAAGGACTACAACATTTACGGCTCAACTTACTTTATTGGAATATTTCCAAATATTTTTCTTATTTTCTCCCTTTATTTAACTCACTTTTGACTTGTACTTGGTAAAACCCGGTTCCATCGTCTTGTTTTCTATCTTTACTTTGGCATATATATTTAATTCCTTTCCATTTTCAATGTGTATGTGAACGTTTTGCAAGCCGAGTGCTGCATGGATTATATTTGGCTTTTGGAATATAATCTCCTGCTCACACTCACCGAACTTCATCTGAAGAACCAACAAACCGAGCGAATCCTCCTTTCCAATTTGCAATTTCGCTTGGCCAATCCACAAAGCCAATATAAAAAAGAAATAAAGAAAGAAATCCTCAAGCAAAAAATACACTCATCATCGACATCATCACCTTCATCATCGAACTCACCTGTCTTTTGTCTCTCGCTCCCTCTTGTGCTGACTACCTCATCGCTGGGGTGGATCGATTCAATTGGATATATGTATGAAAAATCTAAACAGCGTGCTTTTTGAATTTTTAAAATTTTAAAAAGTTCACTAAAAACATGGATTAAAAGTTATTTTTAATTTTTCACATTTAAATAAGAAGAAGTACTATAACCTAAGCAAATTGAATTCATTTCTTATTGCTAGGTTCTATATTACAATTTTCAAATCGAAGTATATTATTTAATCTTGAAGTGATGTAAATTGCATTTTTAAAATGGTCCTTACAAAACAATACAATCTTGCATATCAATTTTTTTTTTAATTTTTAACATGTATAAGAAACATAGCTATTTTGTACTAAATTTATTTACTATCCCAACATTTCTTAGAAAACGTTAGAATCTTCTGTCCTTAAATACAAAACGTTTTTTAAATTGTAGAAAAGATTGTTGATTTCCATGTGACGCCTCTTTTCCAACTGATCGACCCACCCCATTTCCCATACATGCTCATCATATTCATTGACTCATCATCTTAATTTTAGTGATACGCAGGCCAACACCGTTTTATGGCATCGGCAACGGCAACGGCTTTGGCAGTGGCATGGTGGGTGGAAGTGGAGTGGGTGGTGGTGGTGCTGGTGGTAACATTGCACCCAAGCGCGTCCAGAGTGGCAGCAATTTTATGGGCTATTCGGGAGGAATATCACCGGGAGCAGGAGCAACATCGCCACCGATTTTGGGACCCCAGACGGCACCGCCAGTGCTTATATCACCCAATGCTTTGGCTGCCGCGAAGCAAACGATACAACAGAGGATTTTTGGAGGTGGATTGCCCAGTCCCAATAGTCAGTCTGCAAACCGAAGACCAGCCACTTGGCAACCGCAGAACTCCTACAGCACGGCCAGCATTTTCCAGCCGCCGCCGAGTGCGCAGAGTCCCTTCAAGATGCTGCAGCAGCAATATCAGCAGCGCTGCCAGGAGGATCAGAAGACCAGTGCTCTATTCACACCACCTCCATCGCCACAATATGCCGCCAGCCACGCCCTCGCCGCCCAACCAGCAGCAACCTATGGGAACAGCGGCAGCAACATCAGCGGTGCCAGCAGCAACAGCAAAAGCAACAACAGAGGCAACAGCAACAGCAGCAACATGGGCAACTGCAACACGCTGCCCAATGTCAAATACAATGTCAATTCGCGCACGAGACCATTCAATCATAATCAAGCTCAAGACACACTCAATACCAATGCCAGTGCCAGTGCTACATGTGCCTTGCCTGTGGCTATGTGGCTGAAATGTAAGTCTTGGCAGCGGCTCCAAAAAACAAAAACCAAAAAAAACCTCAAAAAAAATAAGAAAACCCAATCCGTATCCGTATTCGAAAACGAAAAACAAAACCCAAAACATGTGCTTTGTGCTATGTGTGCCTGCAAAAAAAAAAAAACAAAAATACAAAAAAATACCGAAGCAATCCACTCAATCCGTTTCCGTTTCCTGTTGCGTTCCTCGATTATTTGTTTCTTTTTCCGCTCCCTTTGCTATATGAACACTGTTTGGCTTTGGGAATAAGTCCAAGGTTAATCGGTGTCATAATATCCTGGCTTGGTAGTCCTGGCTTTCCTTTTTCCCCTCGATATCACAACCGGAAAACCCACTTTTCTTTGGACGTTGTTTGTTGTTCGCGATGTGTGGTTGTTGTTCACTTTCTCGTTGTTGTTGTTGTTGATGTTGCTGCTGCTGTTCTTGTTGTTGATGTTGTTGTTGTTCGTGCCCGTTGTTGTTGTTCTGACTTTCAAGTAGTAGTCTCGGCTTAACACCCCCCTTTTAAAAGCAAATACACATAGGCGCGCCTTAACCCATGAAAAACTGCACTCCTTTGGCCTCAAAGACAAGTTACTCTTTGTGTTTTCTTACTGTTACTGATGCTTTAATTGCTTACTTGTTCCTCTTGCACCATTTATTATGTAAAATTCGACGAGGATTAACTGAAATTAATTATTGTACTCTTTAATCTGCAGCCTCACCGGGAATCGAAGGACCTCCAACTCCACCCGGAGCAGTGAAGACATCGACGGCCTCGATTACCCTCAAATCGGCCACCCTGCCGCGTCGCAAGATAAACGCCAAGGCGGAGGTGCAGTTGGACATCAAGCCACGAATCCCGGAACAGGGGGCACCTCCCCAGCCGGGGATGCGTTTCAGCACGGAGATGCAACATCCGGTGGCCGATCTGCGCAGTGCCCCGCCCCGCGATGGCCCCATCCCCTACAGCCCCATCAAGACGACGGTGCAGGCGAGGGCCACCAGCCTGGAGCCCAAGGAGCACGTCATCACCATCCAGCGACCGCCCACGCAGCACGCCTACGGACGCACCAGCTCCAACACAACCACGCGGTGAGTAGACCGGATGGAAATCGAAGGAATCGCGCCAAAGGGCGTATAAATCGCATTTCATTGACTCGATTATGCTCCGTTCCCGAAGAGAAAATTCGAAATAATTGGTTGAATGGAAATCAAATTGGAGGGTTCAGGTTCTCAGGGCTCGTTTGTCGTTTGACTCCACTTTTACTCGGCTTAAATAAAACAACTATTAAATAAGATACAGTTGAATTGGCAAGCTAAATGTAAAACCAGTAAGATAAACATCTTTAAAGTCAGTACTATTTTAATAGGGTATTTTATAGATAACAGACTAGATCACCACAGTTTATTTTAAATTCATCAATGTAATGAAAAATGCTCATGTGTAAGCTTATGATTGATTTTGCATGTATAAATTAAATTTATAAAGTGAATACTATTTTGGAGGGCTACAGGTTAATTGATTGACTATTTAATGAAAAAAATCCATATAAAGTAGAATCTATTCAAATGTAATAGCTCTTTAAATATAACATATTTAGATCCCCCTTTTTAAGTCTAATAAGCCAAAGGTTAGTTGAATAACGAGCAAACAAAAAAGTTTATTAATTTAAATACGCCATAGACATGCCTTTAAATGAAATATTAAAACAGCCACCTACCAACTTCAAAAAGCCTTAATTTCCTGTGTAAGCTTATGATTGATTGTGCATGTTTCACGACCCCTTGCAGTTCCGGCTCGCTGTCACGGCAGTCGACGGTGGAATCCGAGTCGGATGCGACCACCACGGCCACGAATCTGTCGCAGGCCACCATCACGAGCACCTCGCAGCCCATCAAGAAGAGTCCGCGGGAGTTTATCATCCCGATTGCCGTCGAGGGAGGCGGTTTCATCACGCCCCGGGAACGCAGCGTGGAGCCTTCGGAATCGAGCCACACCACCAGCAGTCGGTCCACGTTCACCCGCCTGCGTCCATCGCGTCGCATTGGGTAAGGTTTAAAATTTAAAGTTGAACGCTTAAAGTTTAAATTCCCATTGGCCTGGACTCAATCTGAATTCGATTTCGTATGCAGCTCACTGTTAAGCGAGGCGGGCTTCGATGAGGGCTCGCCATTCCAGAAGATGCGCACCACGTCGATATCCCGGGATGGCGTCAGCGGAGGAGCCGAGGATGAGGCCCGCTTCACCCCGCACCGACTCAGGTTCGTCCACATCCGCTTACTTCCGCTTATCCCTATCCCTAGCTCAAAGACCTTCCTCTTTACTGTACTCAGAGAAAATGGATTGGCTTATTTCTAAGACTATTGGCAAAGTTTTTAAAGGGAAACCAGTATTTTTGCAATAAATTATAACTGTCGTACTATAAATTTTCCAGGATACACCCTAATCTATCATAAAAACGGAAGATAATAAGACAAGATAACATTTTTTTGGGTCTTCAAAATGATATATCGTATTTTTCCTCATCCTACAAAGATATAAATCTTGCTCAGATGAGTTGTAATAGAATTCTTTTACATTTTACCCCTTTTAGGTGCCTATATGTACGACATTACGTTGTTTCTCTTGACATTAACAAAAAAAAAATAAAATGCAAAGTACATAAGCTAAATTTAATATAATTCTGTTAAACACCCCCTTTTCTTTGAGTGCACGTCATGAATACGTAACTGGATTGCTAAATTGAATCAGGATCGCATAGTTAGTTTCCCCTCCCCGCCCCCTTGACTGTCGTTTGATTCGGTTATTTTCATCTTCATGCATATATCCTCTTTTTTTCTATTTGACACACCCGCAGAAGCTCAAGACCTGTCAAGAAAATTAGTCAAGACAACGATTCGCAAAGCTCCAACGAGGAGGACGATGACGATGACGATGGCTTTGAGATACTCACGGCGGAGAATCTGTTCTCGACTTTGCTGCAGCGGGTAAGACGTCATCTGTCTGTTATGGTGGAGACCATCTTTAACCGGGGGAACCCCCTGATTTCTCTACCAATTCCTAGGTGCGGGCCCTAACGAATCGCCTGAATGTCAACAGTGACCTGTCGGTCGGTTTCCCCAGCCATTCTAGTCGCCTGCTGACGGACATTTCGCGGCAGGCCCAAAGTCACAGTCCATTCTGGAGCCAGGGCAGTCCCTTTGCCAGGTGAGTGTCCCCTCGAGAGCGAGGAAATGGAGTTGGAGTGGCGCAACTAAAGTTGATTGCCATCCATCCTGGCTGTCAGTCAGCTAGTCAGCTAGTCAGCTTATGCAAACGTGTCGCGGAACTGGCTCTAGTTAATAATTTCATTAAATTCCCTTGGAGCCGTCATCTCCCTGGAAAGTTATTTGATTAAGAGAGCCGGCTACTGGGAGCTACAGATGAGTGCGACTTGCTATTCGCATCCTCTGTAGCTTTGCCACTTAGCCCAACCATTGGACGACTGCTTTAACCACCCACCAACATTAACTGCAAATTTGTTGTCCATTTCTTACATGCTGCCCTCCACATGCCTACCATCTAACAATTAAAAACAATATCAAAAACAAAAAATCAAAACTCACCAACCATGCTTAAACTAATTACTTGCAAAGTGTGCTTAGATCTCAAGTTAGTTATACGTATAGCGAAACGGTCGAGAAGAAGAAAGTGTAAGTACTAAGGCTCGAAATGGCTTTTTAACAGTTTGAGACCTTTCCAATCCCTTGATTAAAAGTACAGTGGGTTTTGGAACCAAATTTAAAGGGATTTTATTAGGCTACACTATGAAATGCTTAATACATTTTTCCTTTTTGGAGTACTTAAAGTAGTTATTTCTTTAAAAAATAAATTTTTCTAAATTCAAGTTCATTAAAATAAGATTACAATAAAACACCATTGCCTTTTTTAAAACTCTTAGACAAAAATTTAAATCACTTTAAAATTCAAGCAGTGTTCCCCATTATGTTTTTATGAGTGGACCAGAGAAATATTTCAAAGTTTGGGTTTCACCTACATGGTGTGTGTTTTTTTAAAGCGGTAACAGAACGTCAGCAGAGCAGCGGCAGAGAAAAGTTTGTATCCCACGGGCTGCCTGCACTGCTTTAGCTGGGGAACACTGCTTTAACGATTCTGGAAAGATTTTCATAGGTTCCTGAAACTTGCTTAGAGTCATAAAACCTCTAATATTCAAAGAACTTATATGTCGCTTTAAAATCTTTATTATAAATTCCGATTAAATTTGGCTTGAAACTCACTGTACGCTGCTTTTAAGCCCACCCAGGACCCACTTCCGCATCGCACAATTAAACCGCAATCCATCCATCCATTCATCCGACCATCCCGCCTAATACCTGGCTGTCTTTCACCTGCTCCTGCTCCTGTTTCCAGGTGCGGGGAGTGCTGGCTGAGGGCCTTGAACATTACGGAGCGGCTGCGTCGGTGGTTGTGCCACGCCCCCCAATCTTTTGGCTGCCTGTAAGTCTCTTGGCAACCGTCGTAGCATGTACCCACCGTATGTAATGTGCAAGTCCCTCGGCTGAAGGTTCAAAATCACAATTGAATCGCTTATGCATTGTTCTCACCCGTGTCCAACCAATCTGTATCTCAATCTTGGTATCCTCCACAGCCGCCTGAACAGCAGCAACAGCAGCGGATTGGGAGCTCCGTGGCGACATAGTATGTCCCGGGATCTGGGCAGCGACATGGAATCGATGTTCTCGCGCACGGGGGCCACGCTGCCAAGAGGTGAATATCACAGAATAAAGAGTAAATACCTAGATCAGTAGTGAGACACGCCAGTCAGAGCCGGAAATATAAGTGCATCTCATCCGATGCCCAGCGACGATGATGCCGCCACACAGACAAATTCAAAAAGAAAAAAAAAGAAATTAAAACAAATCAAAAAATTAAAATGTAGAACTAAAGAAAGAAATGCGCTGCAACGTATGCTACGTAAATAAGAATACTTTCACTTTCAATATGCCTATATCGTATACCTAATTAAAACTGTTTTATTTCAAGTAGTTTTTGATGTCTGCTAAACAAAACAAAACAAATGAACACAGATCACAGATCACCGATCCAGTGAATTAGCCTAAAACCTTATATTGTCCCCTAAAAAAACCAAGATAGCCAACAACAAAAACACAACAATTAATCATAAGTGTCTACTGTAATTATCAAGTGAAAATGCCAATTAATACTTAAACAATGACAAACCATTATTTCCGTTGAAGACTATATACTTATTTCATTTACTGTTTTGTGTGCGCGCACAGTTCTTAATAGCATAATTCAATCTCTATCAATATTCACTCTATATATCTATCTCTATCCAGTGAACTATCTATAACTACTATCTATCTATCTATCTATCTATCTAAATGCTGTCTGTCTTAGAGCACCACTCTTTTGTTATTAACCCATAATGCCGCTGACGCTTACCAACCAGAATCTATTTATTTATTGCTCAACAGAGAGAAAACAATCCCCACTTCCTTAACTTATGCACTATTTATTTATTTATTATTTACCCCCTTATGATTTGCCTTTCAAATTTTTGTTCTGCACTCATGCAATGATGATGAAAATAAAGTTACAGAGCAAAGAAAAGCTATGAAGAAAAACCAAGAATTTGTTAAGTCAATAAACAAAGTGTAATCAAATCGTATTCAAAGTTCTGTATACCAGCGCAGTTATATAGACACACGCTCAAGGAATATATATGTATATATATCTGTATATCTATATTCACTTATGGCGAACCCGAATCAGACTTAACCCTTGACCTAAATGTTATTCGAATTGAGATGATGAAAATGTTGATGGCGACCCGAGGAGATTGTACTTAATGTTAACAGTGAAATAAACTAAAGCGAATGAAAAACCAAAACACCTAATAAATTTACTACATTTTGCAGTGAGAACAACAACATAGATGACAATAAAAAAAAGATACAATCCAAACGAAAGAAGACAAAACCTTTTGTTATTTTATTTGTGGTGACCACTGAGATTTTGTTTTCGCAACCAAAAGAATTGTTCGATATATACTTTCTTTGGCAAATTAATTGTTGTACAGTTTTTTATGCAAATGGCCCCGCTACCTTAAATTTGTTTTAGTTTTACCAACTCGTTTGAATACATATATTTATATATTGTATAAATATATATATCCCTCACCAACCACAAACAAAACTACAAGTTTTCTAACGCGCTAACCCAAAAACAAAAAAAAAACCAAAAGACAAAGTTTCAAGTTGAGTTTCCCAGTTCTTCTTTTTTGATGTTTTTTATTAGTTACAAACAAAATTAAACCCTAAAAAAAATGCAAAAAATTAAATAAAAGCGAATAATAAGTAAACGAAATTAAAACCAAAATTTGTGTTGTACAAGAAATTTATTTGTTTAACACCACTAAGCTCACACGCACACACCCACATGCAAATACAAATACATGCGCACCAAGCAACCAACACACCCAAAGCTTCTCAATGTAGTTTACTCTGTCCACGCTGTTAAAAAACCGCCAACCAACCAGCTAAAAAAACCAACCAACTAACTTGGCACTAAAAAATGTTGTTACCAAAAATTAAAAAAAAAAAATATATATATATATATAAGAAAACAAAAACAAATTTCTGAGTTCTGGGCTTTTTTTGGATAAATCTTTAACCAAGTAAATTATAATATTGAAAACCCAACGGCAATCTCTTCTTTAAAATGTGAAACCGAGTTAATGGAGCCAAACCAAGAAAAAATTGAAGAAAAAAATGTCCAAAACTTTGAATACGATAATGTACAGAACTGAAACTCTCTCTCTCTCAGCTACTAATCGAACTAGTTACGTTCATCATCATTCCATACCGTAGAAAAATAAAGCAAACCTAACCCAAAAAGATCATGATCAGAAAACCACATATATCTTGTAGTTAGAGCGTTACCCCCGAGTGAATCGACAACCAATCAACCAGATGATTTGATGTATTTTACTCATAATGATTTTATTATTGGCCGTTTACACACGTTTCGTACTTACTTTCGTTTACAGTTGGTTTAACTACTTTAACTACTACTACTACCACGCCCACCACAAAGCATGTTATAACCATTAACCAGAGTCCGTTCAGTACCGCCACCAAAACGCTACCGGGTCCGCATTTTGCCAATCCCTCCTCGACGACGACGATGGCCAAAACGGTGGCCGTTGCCGTTGCCGGCGTTCCGAAGCAGCTAACGATAACCACCACGACCACGAGCAGCAACAGCGCCAACGGCAGGAGCAGACCACCAGCAATCCCGGCCATAATATCCGCCACCCCACCCAAAACCACCCCAACCACCAAAACCTCAACCAGCCCAAGGAAGCCATAAAGCCAGCAGAGAAGTGATTGACTGGTTGATTGGTTGGTTGGTTGGGTGGTGCTGCTCCATTTCCTATCGAGACTGTTTCAAAGTTCCATCTTTTATGTTGCCAAAATTCGATTTGCATATTTGTTTTAATTGTTTTAAATTTCTGTTTTTCACATTTCGAACGCTAAAATTAATTGAAAAACTTTTTTAATTAAATCCCCATAGAGGGATTAACTGGAATTCGGCTTTTAAATCTTATTATTATTATAATATGTTTTAGAAATGAATAATTGAGGCAACGACAACCACATTCCCCCAGTACAATATCATATTGTATTATTGTGATTTTGATTTTAAACTTAATTTTAAATCGTCAGTCATTTTTTTAACTCAACTCCCATACGCCTCAGTCAAGCAATTCCTCTAGCGCAAAGGCTTCAAGCATACCAACTAAGCAATACCTATACTTAATACCTAATACTAAAACCAAGATAACCGAGAGAACTAAACATTTAATCTGATGAAACCATAAAATATGAAACTATTTTTATACGTACACCAAGTGAAATAAAACATGAAACCCAAATTACTGCCCGTATTCGTTATTCGTTATATCTGCACGTCAGCTAATCCCAGTTGTATTTTGATTTCGATGTTAATCCCACATCCTGCAAGTTTGTTAAGTGTTGAAGAGTTGAGAAGCTTACCCGCTTTGATTGCGTCTCTGGAAAGTAATTCTTTTGGTTGCCAAAACGAAAACGAGAAAAGTTTTCAGATCTCTGGGTCTGACGAGGTGGGGCAGTCAATCAATCATTGCGATTACCATGTAAGTAACCCTGAATAATTGAATTCTATCAGTTCATTTGCCAAGTAAGTGGGATACTTTTTCAATCACTACCCGTTTGTATTCCCATTTTGTGGATGAGGTCATGTTTTTATATTGTCTATGGCATTTTCTCCTTTTCACAGGTCATCATCAAGGCAAGGGTAAACCCAGCTCAGCTCCTGCCCAGGTGGAAAAGGATTCGGTTAATGGATCTTCAACGGCAACTGGGAGCAGCGAGGAACCCTTGGACCTGGCGGATTTGGATCTCTCCAGGCTGCGATTGAGCAAAAAGGATTTGGAGACCTTATCCAGCATCACACCTGGATTGCCCAAATGTTTTCAGGAGCAGTTGCTGGCCAAGCTGCCTCCCACTCAGGCACGCAAGCTATCCCGCACCCTGAGCGTTCAGACCAGTGCTCCCAGTAGCTCCTCCACTCCAAAGGTCTACAAACGCAGCCAGAGCGGCGGAAGGGGCTACCAGCCGGATCAGCAGCAGCAGCAACAGGAGGATTTGGTGGACCTGACCAAGAGCAAACCCCTAACTGATGCACCCAAGACCACTGCAGCTAGCACAGCCATTTACAGGCGAAGCCTCAGTCGCAGTCTGGCGCCCACGCAGAATTCTGGCCAGGATTCAGAGAGCCGGGCCACCGCACAGACAACTAAAAGCCGCAGCAGCAGTGTCTGCCGGGATGACTATGGCAAATCCTCCCTGTGCAGCAGCAGCACTTACACCAGCGACATCAGCGAGAAGTACAAGTACTACTCCCCCTATCTCAGCAAATCCAGCATTGTGAGTCCATCCCAGGCTGCCAAGGATGCGCCGGAGAAGCGTTACAGTGGTGGACTTGGACGTCCTCCAAGTGGTTGTCTTTCCCCACCACCGCAACTGCCACAAGTGGCTGCCACGGAGGGCAGCAGTTCTCTGAGGATTGGACGCTCCTCGCAGCGACGAATTTCCCGCTTTCTGCGTCCCGACTTCTTCGATGATCCCAGGGATCGGGAAACCCAGAGCATGCTCAGGGAAATCCGAGAAAAATCCATCGATCGTCAGGAAAGGGGGCAGGAGCAGGAGCAGACGCAGGCGCAGGCGCAGGCGCAGGCACAGGATCTGAGGCGTCGCAAGCACAGTTTGCCCAATGTGGATCAGGCAGAGGCACCTCCGGAAGCGGCACCAATCAGATCCTCCATGCGACATTCACGCAACAAGAGCATGGAACTATTTACCGATGCCGAATCAAATGGTCAGGTTCAGGAACCAGTGAAATCCTCATCAGCCAGGCAGCGAAGTGTTTCGAGGGCTCGGGAACTGGAAACAGAACTGGACAAGCACGAGCTGGCGGACAAGATACTCCAGGAGCTGCAGCTCCTATCCGCCGTGAGAACCCAACATGAACAGGCTCAGGAATCGGAGAAAACGGAAGAGACATCCACTATCAAAAAGGTGAAGAAATTGAAGCCCAAGGAATCCCCAGCAAATGAGCCAGAGCCAACCAAAATATCTTCCATGACTACCTCATCATCAACCACTTTGGTGAGAAAAGTCAAGAAAGTGGTTAAGAAAACGGATGAAGGTGCCAAGGCAACTGGCACCGAGAGTGCTGATCTGGTTAGCTCTGCTCCCAAGGAAACCAAATTGAAGAGACCCAAATCGTATCCCATGAAAGATCTTGGCTTGAGCCTCAAATCCTCTGCTGATCTTCCAGAACCAACTGCCTCACTACTGCCCAGCAAACTGCCCAGCAAGCTGCCTTCGGGGCTCACCAATGAATCTGCAGGAGAGCCTGCTCCTCGAGAAAGTCGGCTGATGAGGCCAAAAAGCTACCCAGCCACCAAACTGGCCACGCCCAAAGACCTGCGCAAGGTAACCCGCAGTGGAGTGGCCATACCCACTATAACAGAAGCTATTCCTACTCCATCGGCCATGGCGACGCCCACTAGTTCTAAGTCTACTTCCGAGGAGAAATCACTGTCAGCCACACTAACTGGAACCATGTCTACCGTTACGGATGCCAAGGATACGGGTTCTTCCTCCAGCGATTCGCGACCCACGACCATTAAGAAGATCATCAAGGTGTCCAAGAAATCCAAGCTTATACCACCCACACCTGTGACCCCCACCACACCAACCACAACTGCAACCACCACTGCAAATACCACACCTGTAGACAGCTCCAAGGAGTCGAGTCCGGTGATCAAGGCCAAGGAGAAGTCACCGGAGAAGAAGCCCAGCAAGGGATTACTCTACGCTTTGGGGCAGAAGTTCGAGAAACTGCGGGACTCCGCCATGAGCAAGGAGAAAAAGGCTGGCTCTGCTGGAGCGGCAGCAGCATCCCTGGCCTGCACCCAAAAGCAGGGATCCCCAGAGGAACGCAGCTCGCCGGAGAAGTACAAGAAGAAGGTTGTGGAAACGGAAAAATCCCAAGATATTGCTGCCCCAGAAGACAAACGAGTGGATAAACGATCTCGCTTTGACACTATGCTGCGCTCCTTGAGGGAGAGATCCGTACCCAGGTCCCAACCCAATGGACGAGTGAGTCCCAAGCGAGCAGCCAGTGTGGAGGAGCTCCATGCCGGGTCACAAGAGGGCCAGGGTAAATCCGGTGGAGCAGTTAACAAGATGTTCGGAGGCTTCTTGCGTCGCTTCGACAGGGAGAGTAGTGAACAACGCCGGGTCAGGAGCACCCGATCCACTAGCAATATTGAGCGGCAAGTGCGTGAGGAGCAGGATCGGCTGCTGGATGCTTCGCTGCCCACATCACCCATCTATCAGAATGTGGTCAAGACCCAAGGGTCGAAGGTCAAGGCTACTCCAACGCCAGCAGCTGTTGAGGAGAACTGCAATTGCGAGACAGCCTGTCCAGATTGCCGGCAAAACAAGGTCCAGAACCTGACCACCAGCAGTGCTCCAAGCAATACAGCACAAGCTGCAAGCAGCAAGGAGAAGCGGAAGGGTCTGATGCTGGATTTGGCCAGCGCCAATGCCTCTGGCAGCGGAGCTCCCAGCTCGGTGACCACAGCCACCACAACCACCACCAGCGGGAGCAGCTATCGTGGATCCAAAACCAATCCGGCCTTGCTCAATGGCAACGGGGCATTGGGCATGGGCATCTACTCGAATCTGCCCCCCTATCCGGGAGCCATCAAGAGTGCCAGCTCCAACAACAGCTCCAGCCAACAGTCCATGGAGAATGCCACCAACAATAACTCTACCAATACCAACAATAACTGCAGTTCGCAAACCTCTGGCTACAGGACCTCATCGGCCCATGAGATCAATCGGAACAATCCCCTGCTGACGCCCTCGTTCGAGAACATTGCCAACTACTCCTCGGATTCGAGGAGCTATCAAGATGACTGCGCCTCTACCTCGACCTTTCTTTCGCCCACCGAAGAGCCGGAGTTGTACTTTGACAATTGGTCCATCTGCTCTGAGGACAACTATATGTTGCATGCCACGCCCTCGCCCACGGTTTCCCGGCTATCCAGGGCTTCCCTGTCCTCGCCCACCCGCTGTTCCGAGAGCTCTGATCCCAACGAGAGTGTGATCGATAGGATCAAGCGACGCAGCTTCTACAGCCGTTTCAATGAGCAAAAGAAACCAAGACGTACGAGCAGCATAGTGGGTCCTTCGGCGGTGAGGGATTACTATAGGGAGCAACAGGCGGCGGTTAAGGCGCGTTCCAGTCACAAGCTGCATGCTCCGGATCCCATGGATCCACCGCCAAGAGCCCATTCGCCGGACATAGCCCAGCAGTTCTTCAGGCCGCTGAAACTGAGTCCCGTGGGCACGGAACTCAAGCCACCGGTCTACCGCTCGCCACTAGATTACTCGGCCTCCTCGGCGGGGGCCACCAGCAAGCCGAGGAAGAGCTTGAACGACATTAGGAATACCTCACCCTCGTTCCTTAGCAAACGGTACGAGACAACCGACTACAGTTCGGTGCCCATGCGGTACAAAAGCTCCTCCAGTTCGAGTCCCAGCAATGGAGCCATTGCCAGTGGCTATTACAATACCTACAATCCGAAGCGCAGGTCATCATATACGCTGAATGGCAGCCTACCCACTGCCACGAGCGGAAGCAGTGCAGCCGGGAGCAGCCACCTAGATGGCTATGCCACCCTGGGCAGGCGATCCATTAGGCCCTATGATCATCGTACCATGTCCCTCCTGGAGCCACCGACGACGAGCAGCAGCCGGAGCGGTGAGGGAGTTTCCTCCTATCAGAGGAGAGAGGCGAGGACGCCAGTTAGGGATTACACCTCCAGCATTTCACGGTGGGTTTTGTATGACTCCTGGAAGTATCACCATTTTATTATATTATATCCCTTTCAGCTCCGGATCACGTTACCGCACTTCATCGGCCACTCGCAGTCCGACAAACATTTGATGTTCCACACCGCAGAACGGCTTCTGCATCTTTTGCTACTACTCCAAACGGAAGAAGGTGAATCCCGGGCACGGACATGGCCAGGCCATGGGCACGCCGCCCAACACGACCGCCTCCTCGTCATCCTCGCGTGCCAGCAGCGGCGGAGCCAAAAAGCAACAGCTCCAGCCCGCCCACTACAACCATCATCACAACGAGCAGCACAAGTTCTAGACTGGCCCCCTATCCGATCCCAGAGCCCCAATACTATATACCAAACACCAGATACCAACTACCAAATCCCACTTAGGCTTAGAGATTTTTGATAATTTTTTTTATGGAACTTAGCCAAAGTTATACTCTAGTGCAGACTTTTGGACGCTGCCCCTAGTCGTAGGTTTGTTGTAGTTTGGATATAGCGGAGTTTCAGCCATAGATCGTGACTCTAAAAAAAAATGCGCATATGCATTATATATATATACGATTTTCAAATGATTGTGCCTTGGTTCCTTCGGTGGTTTTAGATTTAGACAATAGTCATAAAACGTTGATTTTAATCTGTAAGTTTGTAAGCGGAGCGAAAGCGGAAACGGAAGTGGGTAGAGAAGAGAGACAACCGGAAATGAGAGACGTGTTTCACAATATATGTATATGTATTTTCTATGCTATTTTTGTGAGGATACCTCGCGCCGAAAATGCGTTAAAATTTCTATGAAATAATTTTAACAACAATTTTTTGCATTATACAGAACTGATGGATTGTTTTCGAGATTTGAGAATATAGAGTTTAATAGGGACAACTTTCGTTTGCTAGGACTATTGATGTTATTGCGAAATAATAGAAAATATGCGAATTGTGAGCGAAACGATGAGAGAGTGTTAGGTAAAACGTAGGTAACAAACGATAAGCGAATTTAAAAAGCAAATTAATAAAAACACACGGAACAAAAAGTAATAGATCTAGAGTTTTGGGTAGAATCCGAATTCGAAGTTCAAATTGTAATTAGAGCGTGAGCACGAGCAGCGTTTTCTAAAAATAAATAAAAACCGAATCACCAAATTGAATGGTTGTTATTTACATGGGATCACACGGTTGTGAATTTAATAACCCGATTAATCAGCTTTGCTTCTGAAGCTTGTAGGTGGGCATAAAGGGGATGTAGTAGGTCCACTTCCAGCGGCGAATTGCATCCATGCCGAATGGGAAATCATAGTCCGTGGCAGTGCCGTCATTGACGTTATCATCGCCCAGGGGCATCTCATTCGCCCATTCGATCAGGCCCCGCTCCGCCGGAGTGCCCGGTATAACATTGTCCAGGAAGCAACCCAGGACTCCACCCACCAAAATCGTAGTGCCCAGCAACACTGATAGCGTAGAGTCCACTGTCTTGTTTCCGGTTTCAATAGCCCCGGGATGCTTCTGCATCCAACGGCACAAGACCATCGGGAAAAATATGGATAGTCCCAGGATATAGAGATTCCTTGCAGATCGCAGATCTACATACTGTAGCGTCGAGAGCCCAAAGGCTATAATCATGCCGAACATCACGCAGAAGATACCGCCAACCACCGAGTCGGGAATAAGGATGAAGATGGCTCCAAACTTGCCAATCACCCCCTGGAGCACCATTATTAAAGCTGCCCATTGAATGACACGACGTGATCCAATCTGAAATGGAAGAACTTAATATGTTTGAGTTTTGTTTAATCTTTTATTGATCTTACCTTGGTGACCCCGATGGCGCCCACGTTTTCCCCAAAGGTATTGGTTCCATTGCCAGCTCCCCAGAGTCCGGCAAGCACAGTGCCCAATCCCTCCGTTCCGATACCACGATTGATGGCATGAAGTGGCGGTGAATGCGCGCCGGACATCTGGGACACTGTGGGATAATAGCTGAGCGATTCCACCGTGCAGGCCAGTACTCCGGCTAACATGCCCAGCACGCCGGACAGCGTCACCGAGGGCCAACCAAACTGTCCCGGATAGGGTACGTAGAACCACTTGGCACTGGTCAGCACATTCAGGCGGACATCCGTGCGAGAAGGGTGTCCTGGAGGGAAGACATCGGTGGCCGTCAGAATGCCGCACAGGCCCCACATTATCATGATTGTCAGCAGAACGGGAAAGAGACGGAACAGCTGGAACTGGCGCACCTCCATTCCGTGACCCTTGCGGTATGCCAATATGGGCACGGGAACATTCGACATTATTTGCGAAAAGAGCGTCAGCATTCCAGTGGTTCTGTAGAGAAATGGGATAATTAAATAACGTAATAAAAAAAATATTAAATCGAGAAAAATTATTCTTAAATCAAGAGAAATTTTTTTTTACTTCAATTTTTTTGGTGTAGAAAGAGTGTTTCTTGTTCAAGAACATTTTCTTTTGATTCAAGAAAACCCGATCTTGACTCAAACAAATATTGACTCAAATACTCCCAACCAAATACATTTAAAGTAATTAGTTATGACAATCAAGCAATAATAACCAGAAAGCAATCATATTTAATTCATTGGTGTTAGGGGTTATTTCTCAGTAAAACTCACCCAACGGCAATTCCCCAGTGCTTCGAAGCCGTATCAGCCGCGTGCTCGAAGAGCGTAAGACCCACGAGCGATACAGTGGGTACAATTGTCAGCGGAGTCACGTACTTGAGGATCTTTCCCACCAGACCTGTGTAGCCCAGGATAACCTGAACCATCGCGGACACGGCAATGGCGCCGGATAGCTCCCGCATTCGCACCTGCCATAATTCCTGACGCTCCACCTCGTCCATGGCATCCATCTCTGACTGCTCCGGACACTTCCACTGCGGCAGGGCCAAAATGGCCAGGGTGGGGACCAAGAACGAAATGGTGCCCCCCTGCACAATGGGCAAACGGACGCCCCACGTGGCCTGGAAGTAGGTGACAATGCCCGTGACGAAGATCATGGTGGAGATGATGATGCCTCGGTTGGCGTCCTCATCCGACATGCACAACGCCGGCGTCAAAATGAAGGGTATGGAAACGATGGCCCCAATCATGGTCAGGTAGTGCTGGAATGCGAGGAAGATGCTCAGGTACCATGGGGGATTGTCGTTGATGGCGTAAAGCAGTTGCGGCTTGGGTTTCTCATTACTGGGAGGCGTGTTGGGAACTTGAGTGTGGGACTTGGACGCATCAACCTGGAATTAATTAAAATGCAAATTTATATATTTCTTTATAAGACACTGATAAAAAAAGTACATTTTGTAATATGCTCGGAGTAAATCTTTAAAGCTTACGTTTTTAGTATGTTATGATCGATAATATAATGATCACTTTAATATAATTACCATAGCACGTAAAGTTAGGTATTTCTTAAAATTCATTTAAATAATATCTCAAACTTAAAAAGCACTTATTGTAAATGGAATGCTATTAAAGATCCTCACATTTATGAATAACCATTTATAAAAATTTGACATCCGATGATTTAATGAGGAAATCCTAACTTTTGAAGACAAATCCCCATAAATATTGTTGATCAGTGTAATTATATTTTATTAATGCAAATATCTATTTGTTTATGTTAATGAGTGGGTTTTAGTATCGGCATAAAGATATTCTCACTTTTTATTGTGTAATTGCAGAGTGCGGAAAATTCATTGTTTTATTTATGAGAATTGCAATTAAAGTTTTGAATTTATTTACATAACTATATGGCTTAAAACGTCCCATGGAGGGAGGAATTTAATCTTAGCCCGAGTTTGAGTGACGGCTCTGGTCGCCAATCGTGATTAATTGAGCGTGAGTATCAGTGCGGAGATCGTTAGACGCCGCTTGGTTCTCAGCTTGTTTCGATCAGTAATTTTAATCAGACCATAAATTAATAGCTGATGAGGTGGCTAGTTAATAAATCAGTGTGCTGTTGACTTCAACATTGTTGTCTGAAAGGCTTGCGCCGCATAAATATGACAAATGGCAATTGGATGAAATTGGACCGACACTTACTCACTCCCCTAGATCGTTTAAAAAATATTTGTGAATGAACTGTAAATGGTGTTATCTCCACGGTTTTATCCGTCAAAAACGACAAGCAATAAGTAACAATTAAGTGAGAACTGCAGTCCCATGAAGAAATGCCTCACAAAACAAAACCGATAAAAATCAAAATAGGAAGAGCATCAATCGGAAGCAATTATGCAGCGTCCACTGGGAGAACTATTCTTATATAAACCCACGCGATCGCCAGAAAATGTTATCCAAAAACATGTGGACTTACGCCGTCCTCGACGGTAACATTATTCAGCTCCATGATCATACAAGCTCACACTTTATAACCGCCATAAACTAATTGGGCATAGGGCACGGAAAAAACTCCCGAAGAATTCCGCTAGACGACCGATCGCGACAAAGTCCCGAGACTCAATGGCAAGATCTATCAGCCCCTTGTCGAATTTCGCTCGATCGAGGCAATATTTTATCGTACAGCTCTTCGAGAACAGGGCCTTTTATTTCAAGAGCATCTGAGAGGAGACGATCGATTGCAGCGAGCTCTCAAATAAAATCTCTATATAAAAAGGGAATAGTGAATAGTGAAAGCAAAATAAATTAACATCCCATCGGTAGTTAGTTTTGCCTCATCTGTCTAACAAAAATAATTACAGCTTATTAAAAATAAAATTACAAAATCAAATTTATTATAATCTAAAACAGGTTAATTCATAACTTTAAAATTTTAATTTAAATCTGAATACTTTAGAACAGAACCAACACAGTTGGGCAGCCCAGCAACACCGAGATAACAATATTTTAGGAAAGGCCAATGCTTCCCTATAAAAGTGACAAAGTAGGTGCTGTAAAGATATCGCCTCATAAACTACCCAAATGTGATTAAATTATAAACCATCTTTCGTTTTCGTTAGGCCATGAAAATGTTTGATAATCACAGTTCAGCCCAAGCATTCCCAAGTATTACAGCATACTTTTGGGGGAAACAAAATGTATCTCGCGTTTTATTTCAATTGGAAAAGTAACTGTTCACAATTTTCTGTAAATATTTAACTAAATTCCTACGTACATACATAGTTTAATACACATAATTTAGTTTTGGTGGTTTTTGTTGTTGTTACTGCTTTATAGTGGTGATATTTTCAATGACTTGCATGTCCGTTCTATTCTATACACACACGGGGTTATTCTTATAGAAATTGATAGATCCGTTTATATAAGCATTTATAAAAAGTTCGATACAATAATCATACATACTTGTATGGAGTGGGATATTCATTTTTTTTAATGGAAAGTTTCTGACAATGCTTTTTGGGGGAGTGTATGCATTCTGTATGTGTGCACGCCTTCTTCTGCGCGAAGATAATTAGCGTAATTTGTTTAACATTAATCATTACGGTTCCATTAAGTAAAGCACACCAAGTTCTGTTGCAGTCTCTCTCTTACAAAAATTAAAACAAATAAAGGCGTAAAACAAAAATCATAGCATATAAATAAAAAATGTCTAGGGCAGCGAAGATGCGGGAGGCCGGGCCAAGCAGCTTCTGGGCATCACATCGAATCCATCTTCGGGCAGCAGCTAGGGATTCACAGCTCCTCCTCTTCCTTCTCTTGCCACACACTGCTCTCGTTCTCTGTATCACTCAGAATTTCTACGACCTCTTCTTCGCCCGTCAGCAATCCCTCCTCCTGTGGGAACCCCTTAAAGCCGTCATCTGCATCACCCTCGCCTTCGGCATCGCCATCAACTTCGCAGTCCTCCGCATTCTCGCCTAGCAGATTCATGTCCGGCGCTATCGCATCATCTGTTCCCACCTGGGTCGTATTGGTGGCCGCTGCTGCGGGAGCCGCTGACACATCCATGGGTGGCAGCGTGGCCACCGGATTGAACGGCGCATCCAAGTCCTCAAGGCCACGAGGCGGCTTCAGTTTGGACAACTCCTCACGCAGGTGGCGATAGTGACGCCGCAGGACCATTGAGTTGAAGGAAATAGTGCGACTAGCCCTTTCCGTGTACTGAGGCTTGCCCAGCTCCTCGATCCAGCCCTCGATCTGGGCGCAGATCTCCTCGCGCTTTAGCCAGAAATGCTTGTGTATGACCTTAAATTATTTAAATTGATAATTCATGTAATTAATTGTTAGAAATAATATCTATCTACTGAGTTGATTTACTTATAGTTTTTATAAATTGTAAATTTTATTCTACTCACATCTTTAAAGCAGTGGCTTGGGCTGCGTATCTGCTCCAGCATCGCCCAGCGCACGCAGGCCTGATAGATATTGCTGTTGTACTCCCGCGACGAGTTGGTGCCACTCGGTGTGCCACGACTCCTCTCAAAGCCGGGCTCATTGAAGTACGGCTCGGGGACGAGGATCAGCGACTGGATGGAGACGAGCACCTGCAGGAAGCTGGAGGTCTGCGCATTCCACTTCTCCTCGGGCCGGCCGTGCCAGGTGTTTAGAACCGACAGGCACACCTTGCCGTCATTATAGAGGTTGGGGTTGAAGCGCACCGAATGGCGGCCCGTGGTCTCCAGATTGATGAGCATGGGCTGGTTGGGGTAGTCCGGCGGAAAGAAGACATCAAACTCGAAGCACCCGTTGGCATACGGCGTGTCCGCCGGTCCAGTGATGAGTACCTGTTAGGTGAGAATAATAACGTGTGAGGAATGTGTTGAACCCATAACAAAAAACTCCTAACTTACCTTCATGATGTCCAATCTATCCGTATCACAGCGCACAAATACAGAACTACTATAGCTGAGGGGCAGGCTGGTGGACAGTGTCACTGCCTCCTGGGCGAGTCGCTTGACCCGTGACGGATGGTAGCGATCGCCGGCGAGCCGCACCATCTTCTCGAAGTGATGTGAGACCACAAACCGGAAGCTGTTGTTGTCCGACTCAACAATCATATCGAAGGTGTCGAATTGGCGCTTCTTCATCAGCTCCAGGTAGCGCTGCTCAATGGACTTGCTCAATGGCTCCAGCTGACCACTGCCGTCCTCGTTGGTGTGCAGCATGTTAATCAGGGCATCCGCATCCGTGGTCTTCTGCACCAAGACACTTGTTTCATGGATGTCCGGAATGAGAAGAGCTAATCCCTCATCGTCGCCGTCATCGATGTTAAAGGTCAACGGATGTGTCTGACCCTTGATGTTCGACTTCTTGTTTACTCTGAGAGAACCAAACGGTTAAGAGATTTAAATATATAGAAGATTACTCACTTTAACCGCTTAGCGTACGTATCCACGCAGGTCTTCATGTTCGTGAGCAGCTCCACTATGGGAGGCGTGCTTTCCCCACTGCCACTAGCCGCCGGCTGGAGCAACGAGACGAGCATCTTGGACAGCGACAGGGCGCGCAAAAGCTTCAATATGGCACGGTACAGCGGAATGTGGCGCGTGATGTCCAGCACGGAATCGTTGCGCAGATAGGAGCTGAGGGCGGGGATCAGGCAAGACTGCTGCAGGAGGGTTTGAAAGATGGGCGGCAGCTCGCCGGTAACATCTCTGACATCATGGTAGGCCAGGATGTCCTCTCCGCACATGTCACTTGGTATGCAGTCACCCGGATTTATGTAACTTGCTAGAACTAGCAGCAACACTGTGACATGCTCCTCCTCGCTCTTCTGCCGAAGCAGCGCCTGCTCCACATTCCACGACTGCGTGGTAGAACCGGTGCCGAAACCCGTTCCCTTGGCCCAGTACATGTGGCTCTTGTCGTCCGACGTTGCACTAGGAGTGGCCTCCTCCGGTGCATTTGCCTTGACACCGCTGGCACTTGCGTTTCCACTTCCATTCCCACCAATAGTGCCACTACCACTACTGGTTCCACTTGGTGAGGGTTCGTTGATCGGTGCTCCAATTCTGTTGTTGTGCGACTGATGCGAGAAGATGCCGAGGCAGTTAAGCACTAGGTGCATGGCCCCCACTTCGATAACCACGCGACGAAGCAGCACGCCGTCGTCGGTCGACAGCGGCACACTGTCCAAAAGCTGACGGAACACCTCGAAGGGTAGTGTGGGCAACGAGGGCGCTAGCGATAGACTGTATATATCATCTGAAATAGAAAGGAAGTGTTAGAAGTCATAAAATAAAGTACGCCTTCAACTACTTACTGCCTTCGCCGTCTCCCGTGACTCCCAGCACTAAACGGAGCAGGCACTGGGCACGCATCTTGTCCCGCAGCAGGACATCCGAGTAGGCGGGCAGCCGCAGGAATAATCCAAATGCGGCTAGCGAGTGTTGCGGCACTGAACTGACAGTTGCCTGCTTGGCCGCCGGCTCACAGATAGTGTCCTCCAGATCCTCGTAAATCTCGTCGTTTGGCTCCAGCTTCACCCAGTCGGAGAGCGGGGGACTCTTCTCTTTTTCGGTGACCACCAAGGTGGTCTTCCTGCCCGAGTGCTCCGGATAGACAGTGGGCAGGTAGTGTGCCAGTAACGAGAGGCCGCCGCTGCTCGAAAATCGTTGCAGTGGTGATGGCAACGGCTCAGTGCAGGCGGCCTTCGTCTTCTTTGCCTCGCTCGCATCATCCGCCCGCTGCTGGGGCACCAGGTCAAGGGATATGCAGGGCGTCGACAGCGAATGTCCCGCATCTTGCAGTGAGGCCAAAACCTGCGAAATGGTCGCATCTCCCGCCAAAAGGATATCCGAATACTCTGGTATGACCAACTGGTTGCCATTGGCTGCATTCGCCGACTGCAGCAGGAACTCCTCCACGTTGAATATGTCTGTAGAGGAATATTTTGTTAAAGATTATAAACTTAGAGTAAATAATAAACCGAGGGTATCCTTACTGGAAGCTAAGTTTAGAGTGCTAGTCTGAGTCTCCTTGTCTTTGTTCATGGCCGCCTGGTTCTTAGCATCTTTAATACGCTTGTCCTTGGCTGCCACGGCAGCTCCAACGGTGAGGAACTCCATACTACCCGCCTCAACATTGTTGAAGTTCAGGAAGCTGCTCTTCTCCAGCTTGCTATCACTAGACTTGGCAGTCGCACTGGACACGCCACTGCTGGAAGCCGAGGCCTCGCCTGCTCGTTGATCTGTTGGTTGTTGATAAACTAGGTTACTATACACTAAGGGGTCACAAACAAAGAAAACAAACGAAATAAAATAATTTAATTATAGGAGCCAAAGCATAATAAAGTATATGTGAACCAAAAACCGGGCTTATAGAAATGAATGATGTCGCTAAAAACTCACCACTGACGCAATTCTGCATAATCTCCTGGCACGTGGTGCTGGTGGTCACTGTGAATAGCATGTGATGGGCGCTGCTCCGCTTGGCCGGGTGGTTATTCACAGCTGCCACCGGCAGGCTAGTGCTGGCACCACTCGAATTTCCGCCCAGGATGGCGGAGAGGGTGTCCCTCCGCTGCAAGGGCTGCTGACTTCTCACCGAGACTGTGATGTGTTCGTTCTCCAGAAGGAGCTGCAGCACCAGCTGCCTGGTGAATCCAGAGATAGTGGGACGAACACCATGCGACGATCTTAGCGGCTTGCAAATTATGGCTCCGATGAGCAGCTGTGTGAGCACTTCCTGGTTGCCGGGATGGCAGGCGCTGACCCGGGTAAAGAAGTTGATGGTTGCTCGTTCCAAGCGGATGAATGATTGCTGCATTGGCAGCGTCTTGCTAAACTGGGCGGCATGGGTGTTGCAGAGCAGCTGAAGCAGGGGCTTCCAGAACACGGAGCCCTGCATGGTGCCTAGCCAATCTCGCATAGGACCCTCGGCACAGCACTCGGCAAAGAAGTCCAGTACTTTGGGCACATTTGAGCTACTAAGCAGAGGAGTATTATGGCTCACATTGGCTTCGGCCTTATCGAAGTCCGTTAGCGACGAGTCCTCGTCATCCGCTGGAGCAGCAGCAGCCTGGTTGTTGACCGAAACTTCCTCTTCACCCGCAGAGACTGTGGCCGCAGCGCCTTCTTGCTCCGATCCAGGCAACAGGTGCATACAATACTCGTATATGGCGTGGGACAAAAGCTTGGGGAGTCCCGAGTCCAACATTTGGTATACTGCCGCCGGAGACTGGCAGGCCAAGGCCAGAGTCTTCAGGAATGTGGGACGCTGCAGTAGAACTGTGAGATTCTCGCTACCCTCGCGCCGGAACCAGGCACTGCCGCTCTGCACCTTGCTGTCATCCGTCTGGCCGCGAGCTGGGGGCTCTAGTTTCACTCCCAACTTGACCAACAGCTGGTTGAACAGCTCCGGCTTGATGTAACACAAAGCGCACAGCAGGGAGTCAAAGCTACTCTTCAGAGGCTCATCGTGTTCCAGGGACGACACCCATTCGAAACAGGTCTCAAACAGCGACGATGAAATGAGGAGTGGCAACTCGGGGAGTTGCTGCTGTGTCTGCACTTTCCACAGAATAGAAGCAATCACTTTAACGAATCCGCTTTGTGGATTATTACACCGAGCCTGCTGGCTGTAGTTGTCGTGCAGTTGCATCACCCAGTCGATCAGCACGCGCAATTTGTCCAGCAAGTGCTCCGTGGAACCGGTAACCACTTCATGGATGAGATCGCACACCGCATCGCTGGAGAGTTTGAAAACTGAAAAGGAAAATTATTTAATTAAATTTTAATTTTATAAATATTATAGTAGTTCCCAAGTAGTACCTTGGGGAGTGGTGTGCCACAGAAGCGTCCGCAGAAGCTGCAAACTAAGCTCGTGGTTGTAGGCACCCAATTTCAGCAAAATGGTCTCCAGGTGTTGCTGAGCAAGGCTTGGAATCATTGGCATTATATTGAGCAGTGAGCAGCAGGCCTCTAGGAAGCCAGGATATGCAGCTGGATAGGCGGCGATTAGATCCGCCAGCTTGCTGTCAGGTTGCAGGGCTGCCACATGGAAGCAGCGCGATAAGATCCGCACCCAGCCAATGCTCGTCTTGGCAAAGGCATCGTCCTCAAGCATGGCATCCGCATCCATCGCAGCTAAAGCTGCTGTTTGCAAAGGCGAGGAGCACGAGGCCAGGGAATCGATAAACGGACTCGGTGATCGAAGCCCCTGCATGCGATTCCCGAAGATCGTCTGGCCCAGCACAGCGATTTGGACGAGACCCACATTTCCGCAGTCCTTGGGTCTGTGAGTTAAATTAGTTATCACATTAATATTCATAAATCAATGAGCATATTCCTTTTTCAACTTACTTGTACAGCCTTAGAACAATGCTGGTGGCCACCTCCGCCTTGGCCAACTTTAGCCTGATGCAGGTCAGCCCAGTGGTGGCCATGGGCGCACCCACTGGGATAGAGCCCACGCCATAATCTCTTGACAGCTCCAGTGCCACCGCCGAAGGGCAGGAGGCCAGACTCGTTGTGTGCGGCACCAGCTGCACCTCCTTCAGCAGAATCGCAGTGGGAAGCGTGATAGTCAGATCCACGTGCGTCTCATTTGGATAGAACATGTAGCTCCAGGCTGGAGAACGTGGTCTTCGATGTGAATTATTCGGATTTGAGATTAGAACCTCAGCACTTTGAGCGGCGTCGTTTTCGGAGACAATGTGCGAGAAGGGTGCAAAGTTGATCAGCCCATCGTACTGAGCTCCACTCCTCGGCGGCTGTGCTGCCGTTGCTCCGGTTGTGCCAGTTCCAGTCGTTGTCTTCTTGCACGCACTGTTTGCCGCCACATGAGTGTTTCGCTTAAAGCGTGTATTGCGGGTCAAGTGCTGCATAATCAACGAGATCTGTAAAAATGTAGTTTGGAGTACGTTTCTGGAGGGAAATCATATCTTAAAATGTCTTCTTACCAATCCTGGCTGCATGTTAATAATAGTTTTATTGAGTCGCACCAGGTTGTGACAGATAATCTGAATTCCACCCAGCTGGGTGAACGTCTGAACTGCCGCTGTGACCTCCAGGACCTTTGAGATGTACCACAGGAAGGGCTCCGATAGCGGCAGACGAGGCAGCGTCGCATTTCTTTGAATGGTGGCTGTCGGTGGAGGAGGAAATACTTTAGTAAACAGCAAAAGACATTAAATAGAAGGCAATCTAACTTTCTTCCAGGTATTGGCAAATGGGTGCCACAACCAGTCGGGGATTGGAGGCCTTATCGCTGAGGGTTATCATCAAACTAAAGACGGCGTCTGCAATTGTCTGGGGATCATCCAAAACCATATTCGACTTTAGTGAGAAAAAGCAGCCAGAGGACATCATGGTGAAAGTGTTTGTAGAGCACTGGGAGAGAGTTCCAAAGAGGCGCTTCATCGTGGGGAAATGGCGAAGAACTAAAAAGGCAGTGTTTGTTATTAGTTTAGACTTCAAAAGGAAATGTGCTAATAAACTTACCCCAATCTGCTATGCATGGTACCTTGCTGCGATGTCCTTCCGTATTCAACTGCTCCGCTTTAGTCTCATCTGTTTGACTTTGATTGGATAACTCCTCCTCCTCGGGTATGGTAACCTCCTGCCCAAAAAAAAATGCACAAGTGAGATACGTTTGACGACATGCTGTGCGGAGACATACACTTGGTTGCCTGGGCATCTCCGTGAGAACCATGTGCGAGGATAGTTTCAGCAGGTTTATAATAAGCGAATTGTCACAGATTGTGGCATTCTGCTTGGTGGGATTCTCCGATCCCAACACATTGGCAAACAGATTGCTAAAGTTGTTGCCAGCCGTGTTGTTCTCATTTCCTCGCTGACACTGAAGTTTCTCGCCGTTGGAAATGTTGTTGTACACCAGGAAAGCTAATCAAATAATGTGTTTGATTAAATATTCAAATAAAGAAGAATTTCGACTACATACAAACACTTTCAGTGATCTTAAGCGCTATGTTGAGATCTCCCTTGTCGTTGGGCATCATGAGCAAATCGCGAACCAGCTGATTCTGCGCATCGATGGGTCCCTGCTGGTTGCTAATAGCGCCACCAGGTTGCACCAACTGAAGTACAACATGCAACAAGATGTCCTTTAGTCGGCGCTTGCACGGAATGCCACTCGTCTCGCTTTTACTGTGCAGCCACAGCAACAACTCATGCAGATGCTTGCAAATGGTTGGTCCAGCCTGGATAAAAATTGATAGGTTTGATAAGAATTTTTGCAATATTAAACAGAAAAATCTGCTGAAAAACTTACACATCGGTTGGTTATGATAGACGAGCTCATGCCGTAGCCAGAGAAGAACCTCAGCAGCATCTTCTCAAAGTTTTCATCGTTCACAATAACCTCGTTGATACGGGTACAGTCCGCATCCTCGCCAATAGGCAATGAGTTGCAAGCGAGGAACAGGCACTGGAAGCCCAGACACCAGGTGCGCAGCTTGATGTCATTGTGCCAGGCTAGGGCCAGGAGGAGCCCCTGCACTGCATTCGCCCCAAACGGAATCTTCGGAACATCCGTATGGGTGATGCCACTGGTGTATGGCTTATCGGAAAGCTCGCAGTTCAGCGTGAGCCACATCTGCAGCACCTGCTCCAAGTGCACCCAAGTGTCCTCATAGTGCAAGTCCGCCAGGATGGAGTCGAAGACTTTCTTGAACATCACATATGTGTTGCGGCCATTGTACTCTGTGCCTGACCAAAGTTGCGTCAAGTACTCCGGCCAAGGAGCGGCTTCCGGTGGCGGAGAGACAAACTCATTGGTCAACACCTGAGGCAGCGAGGAGTAGAGATCCAGAGAAGTGCGATTCGTAAGCCTTCTAAGCAGCGTTTCCACATGCAATTCCAAGCCCACGTCCAACCGTGTGTCCAGCGCAATGGAGATGGACTTGCAGAAGAAATTGAAGGTGTTCTTGCACAGAGCGTTGCTCTCTTTCTTAGTCACTGGTTTTGTTCGCTCGATCATGTCAATGTCGTTCAGCATTTCGTCGAATTCCGTGTCATCGCATTCAATCAATGATGGCAAGTAATTATATTTGACAGCTGCAAAGGCAAATGTAGTCAATGTTAGAATTCGTACTGTTTATTGAAAGTGTTTTGTTATATAATTGCAGGATACGGGTATCAAAATCATATTTAAATGGGATCAAACTAAAAGCTTGGCTATGGGAAAAGTAGTACCAGGAACCGTAAGTGGTAAACAATTTTGTTCAATTTGTTGAAAATTTGAAAACTTTCCAGAATTAAAAGGTATGGTCATCAAATACGGTTCCTGCATACATAGTGCGGTAGTCAGGCCATCTATAAATCAACATCGCATATAGTATGCAAGGTTCTACGGTTAAGATAATGACTGTGTTTACCCTCTTGATAAAATTCTCTTGCTGTCGGCATCAGCATCTCAAATTGTGCCTCAGTGCACGAGGAAGCAGTGGCTAAAAGAATGGAAAATTCATTGTTTCACTAGGCCCTATCAAGGGATTTCGCATCTACGGACTTGCCGTAGAGAGGAATACCTTTGCAAATGTTTTCTAAGTGTAATTTGGTGTGCATATCTTTATGCATGTATTATATTCAATTTCAATAATTTGCATAAATATATAAGCGTATAAATATAAGTTTAGAAAGTTATGTACTTACATGTATAGTCGCTAAATAAGTCTCGAGTTTCCTGCACTGAGGCCTCCATGGTTCGCGGTGCATCATTGGTGGGTGTGACATCATTGTCCCTAAACTGCTTATCTGCATCCAAAAGATCCTGCAAGGTAAATGCGCATTTATGAAATAAACAAATGAGTGTTAATTTAATTTAAACTCACTTGAAGCAAACAAGTAATGGCATGGACAGCCCAGGGCTGCTGCTGATCATTCCACACGGATAGACGAACCAGCTGCTCCAGCTGGGCGGTGGTTACAATCTTGCAGAGCTGCACAGACGGTCTGCAGGCGGCCACCAAGCGAGCGATTACCTTGCAGGTGAGCAGAAACTGGTCCATGTTGCAATCGAAATCCATTTCTAGCAGCAGGGCGAAGAGCCCGCGAATGACCACCTTGATGTTGGCCATTCGAAGTGTTTTTAAGCCCTTGTCAAAATTGCTGTCGCGTTCGCCATCGGTTGCCGAGCCATCCTGGTGTTTGGGCGAGGAAGTGGAGGCCACCGTGCTCTTAGAAGCACTACTACTTGAGCTGCTACCACCCACACAGAGGCCAGCCATATTGATCTTGCTACCGGTGGCGGTCGACTTGGTAGGTCCACTGCCCTTTGATTTCGATGACAGCTCCATGAAAATACCAGGATGCTGAATAAACAATTAATATTTATATCTTGTTGATATTCATTCAAAATTAATTAGTTAACCAACCTCATTCTGTATCATGTATATTTTCTTTCCCCAGTCCGTGTAAGGCTGCACCGAGTACTTATTCTGCTGAATGATGCGCTTCTTAAAGCAGCGCAGTTGTTTGCTGTTGGGAGTGTTACTTGGCCTGGTCTTGGTGAAGTCACTCTCACAGCTCATAAAGTCCCAGCGAGCAGCTGCTGTAATTAGATTTTTGTTAGTAGGTATGACTAAAATCACTTTTTCTTCTATTAAAATTTCTAGCAATCACTTACACTTATCCTTGCGCTCGTTGTCGTCCAGGCACACGGATAGAAACAGCAGTAGCCAGGTTATCAGCTGAAGATCGGAGGTGGTGCCCATTGCGGCATTGCGATCAGCAGCGTTTGCCGACGTGCTGGGCTGCTCCGACTGGTATTTGTAATGCGGAGAGATCGGTGCCAACAGCTTGACGAGCGTCTTGAGCACGGCGTCAATCACAATGGATCGACAGGCCCCCATAGCAATGCTGCGACGTCCCAGGTAGGTGAGCAAAAAGAATATGCTATAAGTAGAAACCAAAAATAATGGATATTAATTTTCTTTCAATCTCCATCAGTAGGGAGCATAAGTATAAGAGCACTTACCGATCCTGTGGGAAAGCCTTGCAGTTCTGCGCCGAGAACAGGCTGCAGAAGGTATCGGCAAGGAAGTCTCCCCACCACGGCTGGAAGCAGCACATCCGCACCAGCAACGAACAGGTGGCCAACTGCAGTTGGGCGTCCCCGTAAACCACGAGCGAGTTAAAGAGCGCCTTCGCCGTGGCCGAATTGAACTTCTGGTGAACGGGCAGGATGTTCTTGATTCCATACTCGATGGAGAAGTGCAGAAGCACCTCCACCAAACTCAAACTGAGTACTCGCAACTTGTCTCGCGAAGCAGCGCGTAGGATTTCCTCAGTTATCGGAATCGGCTCTCCTGGTGGAGGCGTGTTACCTAACGCGTTAGGAGAAATAGCTCGTTCCAATCGGAGCACCACATTTCGGATCACATTAATCTGGTACTGCAGAAGCATGCACTCATCGTAAAGTGAAACCACTTTATTGTTGTTATCCAGACCACTAAGCTCCTCATCGCGCTGCTTGTTGATGAACGCTTGTAGGTGGGCCACATTAGACAACTCACTATTCCGCATGGGAGCCAGCAGATCCATCAGTTTGCAGCTGGCCAGGCTGTAACGGCAATGTACATCCTCGTACAGTGCATTTAGCGACTTTAATTGCGACTGAAGGCTCTGAGTGGGCTGCTTGATGAACCTCATCAGCTGATCCCCATAGCCGTCGTGCTCCAGCACCACCGGATGGCCAAAGAACCGTCCCAAGGGTACTTTGCACTTTGTGGACGACATGCCAATTCGACCAATGATGGTTAATTTCAAGTACCGGCAAATGGGAGCCGGCTGAATATCGCTGAGCACAAGGGTCTTGGTCTGGATATCGTTCACCTGTACCAAACGCGTGCAATCGGTCTCCTCGTCGAAGCACCAGATGTCAATGTTCAGGGAAGTCAACTCGTCGCACGAGGGAATCACCAGATCCGTGAGCAGGATGTGCTGGCCAAAGTCCAGCACCACAAATCGTCTGGCACCCGAGTGCATCCGATCTATGACTATCATCTGCTTGGGCGGCGGAGTGATTAGCTTGTGCCAAGCAATCGGCTGGCAAGGATTGGCATTCAAGTTCTCCATGATTTTCTCGCTCTCCGCAGCATCATCCAGTATGTTGTCACCTGATCCTGTTGTCTGTTGCGACGGATTGGGCTCCGAAGTAGTCTCCTGGCCTTCACTGGGAACTCCCATGTCCATATTAAATGGAGGCGTTGTATTTCCGTCCCAGTTGTCTAGTTTGCCAAAGTCATCGAAGGAGATGTGTTCGTATATCTTTTTCTGCATGTAGCTTTCGAATAGCGACAACTTCGGCAGAAACTTGGACATCTTAAGCTTATCCATAATGTCCGCTTTTTCTAATTTAACCTCCTGTTTCAGAGCGTGTTCAAGAGAGTCTGCCAAAGAGGACCCTGCTAAAAAAAATAATTAAAAATTAAAATAAGCATAAAAAGGGTCGCAAAGTACATTTATAAATTTTCTGAAGAATTAAAAACTTACAAAATTTGTAATACCTTAATACGAATTACCCACACAGTGGTGTCAAAGAAAACTTACAAGTTTTATCCTTGAAGCCATTGACCAATCCAAATGCATCGTAGTCGACCTTGCCCTGCTTTTCCTTCATTTCCTCCACCAGACACTCCACGTCATTGACCAAATCGTTGAGCTAGTAAATTTTATCACTTTAGTAATACTTCTTTGCTACTTTGTTTTCGGGCATACCATTTCCTCGCCCTTCTCCTTGGCCACAACTAACTTCGGCATCATCATCACATCCTCAATAACCACATTGGCCGCGGAGTTTCCCCCAACACTATCGATGTTGTCAATTCGAGTGGCCTCGGAGGTTTGGACGCAGTTAAAGTGCAGTTGCACCACCTCTAACAATCCACGCAGTTGGTTACTGATGCTCTTTCCGCGGATCAGATATGGGAACGTGCGAAAGTCTACCCCATCTGTAAAAGGACAAATTCGCTATTACTTCTAACTTAATAAGGACAATTCAAAGTGCAACCTATGGAGCTCAATCGCTTGATGTCTAGCCCAGTCACCGGCAGAATAGTAGAACTGCTGCGTATCACATTAGTAAGGGCCACAGATGAGCCGGGACCCTGTCTGCTGACATTGGGGAAGTCGAAGTCAAATATCTCCGGCTCAAATGGATAGCCGTAGAGGCCAAACCGCGTGGCTAGCAGCGCACAGTGAGGATCCCATCGCTTGTCGATTTCGACGGCAATGTCCTTCAGCAGATTGATAGCCAGCTCTGAGATGCTGTTGTGAGATTGGGCTGTGGATGTGGCACAGGTGAGCATCATGTACCACCGCACAACGCTTCCGCACTGGGCGCGCGGTAATTCCGGAAATGTGTTGGCAATCGCTGATTTGAAGCTATAGTCCAGCGTGGTGTGATCCTGCACTTCTGCTGGCAGATTGGTTGCACCCCTAAAAGTTAAACATAATTAGATTTAGTATTTTTCTGCATAGATAATATATCTCCACTTACTCTGTCAACATGATCAGCAGCTTCACACATTTGTGGGCCGTACTCCGTTCACTGTAGATAACGCAGTTCCGCAGCAACGGCTCGATATGCTTCTCCGCGAGGGAAATGCACTCGAACTGCTGGGCCAGCAGATCCTGAATGTTGGCTGCAGTCTGCTTGTTGATCTGATCCTTGAGCCGCTCCGACTTGGGTGACCGAAAACGATTTAGCCTGATGAAGCAAATCCAGTTGAGCACGTCGAGCGACAGGTTCTTGGCCAGCGGGCTGGAAGCCGGATCACTGGCGATGCGCAGCAGCTGAACCAGCAACACGTTGCTCTCCAGCATGGCTATGCGCTGTATCCGGCCATTACTGATCCGACTATGAGACTTAACAGCGCGCACACTGATGGAAATCTCGTGCAGCCAGTCGCAACCTGTAAAGAGAAACAAAAAAAGGAAAAAGAACAACTGTATTGGATTTCTCGGACCATTAGATGGTTGTGCAACACCAGAAAGTACCTTCCCTACTCGGCAGTTGCTCGGGCCTGCGTCCCACAGAGGGAGCAACTGCGGCTGGCTGCTTTTGGGACTTGGTTTTTGAGATGTCGGCTACGATCACCGGTTCAGTGTTCTGATACTTGGGCTTTTTCACATGAATAATATTAATGCAGGCGCTTTTCGCCGCTGGATATACTTTTAGGACCGCTGTCTTGACCGCCCGGAGAATACTGGCCACGTTAATGGAGTTCCTATTTTGCTTGCTTCGATTCACTAATTCCTCAACTTGGTGCGAGCGCTTGTGCCGCGTTGGGCAAACTGCAAAAGGTAGCGATATGGGCGGTAAAGAACTTCATGCCTAGTAACAAACTGCAAACGGTACTCGAAATTCGGTGCTAGGAGTGGCAGCTGCAACCCAACTTAATATTCCTGTTGCTCCCGGCATCAGATTCCCCATTTCTTAGCCTACTTACCTCTCGTCTTGTTCTGCCCATCTTTCGATGGATCCGACACTGTTTTGATGTGCAGCAGGAAATTCCTGGTGCGAGTCTTAACAGTTTCGGGGAAGTGAGCGTAGCAGTGCCCCCCTGGTCCACAGATCGATGCATGAGGAGAGCTCGATGGGACCGGCTAGAACCTCCGCATTGTGGGCCAGTAAATACTCCTCACTTAGCACGGGATTTTCGTTGGCAACTGGAAAGGAGATTGCAATTTAATTTGGGAACAGCTTACGTTGCTTGTGCTAACACTTACTATAAGAGAGATCAATGTTGTCATCGATGACATTCGGCTTGTAACTGGAATGAGGTCCCTTCATCCGGTATCCAAAGCCGTTGGTGTTTTGTTTTAGTAGGGTGACCTGAATTGCTGCAGGGTTTGAGCATTGCTGGTAGACCGTGAACTTGAGATCTATGTGACCCAGAGACACGGGCTGGGCTAAATTGAGCTCAATAATGTGCTCGTCCCAGGTGGTTCTGAAGGTATATGAACAGTTGTTACTATGTGTAAAAAAATGTATCCCTTATAGGCATAAAATACTCACGCATCATTGTGCAAACGCCAGGTGCGTGTGAAATCCCGTTCGTCACCACCATGCCGCATGTTCTGCGACTGCTTCCGCTGCTTCTGCACTTGTCCGAGATCGTTCCAACAGCTGGGCACCTCGGCAGAGTAGACAGTCAGCTTATCGTCAAACTGCGTTAGGGCGTAGAAGACCTTAAGGTCTTCGAGTGTCAGGTCAGCCGTCTTGTAAGCGAGCAGGTTGGCATTGGTGGCAGCCGTGGAAGCCGCCGATGGCGATGTTTGGACGTGGGCACCTTGTGCGCCGCTAGAGGAGCTCGAGACTGCTGCTGCCTCACTGCCAACATCCACGCAAATGGAGTCGCTGGCGAGCAGGGTCTTACCCAAAAGATCTGATCCACCCACATGACGCGCGCCATCCGTAACACTTACATCCGCTGCCTGGGTTAACGTGGTACTGCAGTCATCCTCCATCTCCAGCAATTCGTCTCCTGAGTCGTTCTCGCCCTCGCTCAGCGAGTAGAAGAGCAGGCCGCCCTGGCGTGAGCAACAGCACAGCCTATCCAGATTCCGGCAATAAACCACAGACTCAAAGTGCTCGCCTTCCTCCTCAATCACCATGGTTCCTTGGAAATCGGCGAGCGAGTAAATCTCAACGCTGCCATCCGCACACACAACGCATATAGAGCCGGCATCCTTGTGCTCCGGAGACGAGTTGAAGTGTGGCAGGATGCAGAGCTGCTTGGGACACTTGGCTCGACTGAAAGTCATGGCCAGGGTGTAATCGTTGGATATTTGAGTGTCATCGTAATCGAACACCAAGAGCTGAGCTGCCACATTTCCCTCTGCGTTGTTATCTAAGAGAATCAAAAATTTAATTAATTATGTTTGGAAATTAATAATAACATTTATCGATTTTCGCGTACCTGTGTCCATTGACTCGTCCGCCCGCTGCTCCTCATCCTCCTCCTCTTCCTCCTTAGCCACGGTGGCCATGATGATCTTACTGCCCTCTGTCTCCGGCGCCTTGGTGCGCAGTAACTTAACCAGCAGCTGGTTGCATTTCGGAGTAGTGGGCAGGATCTCGGCAATCTCGATGATCTCTTGCACCGAGTGGGTCACACCATTCGCCCCACTACTGGCCCCGTCTAAGGCATTCATGCGCTTCACACTGGTCCAACTCTCCACCACACAGTCAATCTCCTCGGTGGCCGTCATTTTGTCGCTGCTGCTGTTGGTGCTTCCGTTGATCATGACGTTATTATTGTTATTCGAGGAATTTCCTCCCAGGGAGTTGGCCTCGTTGTTGTTGTTGTTATTATTGTTCTGGTGAGTCATCTCCACATCCTCGACAAGTTTATCGATCTCGTTGCCCATGCCAAGGTTACTAACGTTCACCGTATTCGATCCAACCATCAAACTTAGCGGTTCCTCCAGATTGTGATCCAGGATCTGGGACAAGGTGCACAAATCGAAATCGTACAAAACGGAGGCATCGTCGGTGTTTTGGCTGACTCCGTTGTTCTTGTTGTAGGTCATCAGGGCGGACACAAATCCATTGCTATCGAAGCCATCTGTGAACTTCTCGTACGGGGTCATGGCCTTGTTATCATCATCTTTGGACTCGACATTCGCTTGTGTCACGTTCACATTGTTTTCGCCGGAGACTGAAGCGAGATGAATAGTTATAATTAATAGGATGGCTTAAGTTTAGGATGGGTTATTAACAAAATGAACAAACAGCTAAATAATAATATAAAATATTTAAAGCACTGTATGCTCTTACTTACCATTGACCATAGGGGATGAGGACTTCATCAACTGACCACCAACGCTGGAGACGCTGCCACTGTCATTGCTGACGCTCGCTGAGGTCTCACTGCTTCGGTCCACCTCAACGATGTTGAGCACTACCATGCGCAGAGCCAACTCGCCGCTGCTCTGGCGCACGCTGACGCCTAACACGATTTTGGATCCTACTACGCCGGCCCGAAGCGTGGACGTGGAGGTTATATGTTGGGCATTGACACTGCCAAACTTTCCACTAGATACCGCATTCGATCCTGAATGGGATCCCACTCCGCTGCTGCTTCCTGCTCCACCATAATTAGCAGGCGAGTACACGTAGTTCACTTTGGTGCGGGCTCGTGCATTCGGAAGTACACAGATGGCAGTAACCCGCGCCCACTCGAAGCTTTCCTCGAAAACGTCCTTGAGCAGGGTCGGAACGTGGATGCTGTGCATCAGCTTCAGGTGACGTTCAATGCTCCAAACGCTCAGCTCTCCCGTTTGGGAGCAACTGGTGCAAAGCACATTCGCGTAATCACTGTTGGATATGATGTCGAATCCTAGTCCGGGTGCTGGCAATGCGGGATTGGTGGCATAGGTGATGGACAGTGGGACATTCTGCGTGTACTCGCCCTTGACGAAGGGGCACAGCGGGGAGTGCCTCTCATGCTCGCTCCACGGCTCATCCGTCTTCTCCCAGCAGACAAGACACACGTTGCAGGTGAAGCACATGGCGCGATCCTCGCCGGAGGAAGATGGCTGATGGTAAAACCCGGCCTGGGCCATTTGATCGGGCAGAGCCCACTTGTAATCCATGTGGGGCCACTTCTCGAACGTCTGTCGACGCACTGCCTCCGAGTGCATGAGCACGCGTTGGAAATTACTAAAGTTCCAGCCAAAGTCTGGCACCCGGGACCCCATCAGCATGTCGGTGAGGCGTTCATTAATGGCGGAGGCGATGGCCAGCACGGGAATGTGGCGCTCCAGGCGCTTCAGTAGGATGACCACATTGTTGGACACCAACTTTAGGCTTGAATAGGGTACCTCCAGGCAGATGGTATTCCACTAAAACGGAAAACGGTGTCACTTTTAAACATTCATATTAGACGAACAAGTAAATTCTCACCCGCTGCGCCTTTATGCCTTTCTTGGCATTCAGCTGTGCTTGGTTAATCTTCTGCGTCAGCTCGTTGCTTATGTCACAGGGGCACTCCAGACCCTCGCTCTCTAGTTCGGTGATGCAGTTCTGAAAGATGATCGCCTCGGACAGAATGATCTCCAACTTGATGTAGTCGTCGTTTTGGCCAATCGGCGCCTGCAGAATGGTGTCCAGCAGCAGGACGCCGTTGTAATCGCCTCGCAATCCGAGATTATGACCATCCCAGAACAAGATCTTGTCCTGCAGGGGCATATACCGACCATAAACGATGCTGTCGCCTGAGAGGAGAGAAAAACAAGATGAAGCAAAACATTAGAAAGGGAATATGAATCATCCTTGCTGATTTCATCAGAAATCAATTCCAACTCATCCTCTTGTAGCTTTTAGTTTAGCCAATTACTCAGATTATATTAATAAATAAATAAATTAACTAAAGACAATTCAATAAAACCGTTTTTGATAAGACAATATTCCAAAGTGAAGTTTTAACTAGAAATTGTTAAAGGTGAAAGACTTAGGAAATCCTAATTTAATGTAATAACAAAACGATACACAAAATGTAATACAGGCTTGAAATCCGAACCAATTGATAACGAGACTACATCCGTGAAATTGAAGACCGGAACATTCCCGAAAATAGCTACCGAACTACAAATTCATAGGTGGCGGGGGCGAGGAGGGTCATCAAACAAAAGCACTGCGTAATAGAAGCAAAACAAAAACAAAATGCGTGCTGCTCGCGGCCAATAGAAAACAATAACAAACGCATTGCGATAGGACGGATAGGACGGATTTCGGTTCTCGAGGGGAATCACTCAGATTGGCTTCGATTGGATTATCACTCTCCGTTTAAGGATTTCCCAGAGCTTTGTTAAAAATTGATGGCAAACGCATACACAAAAAACTGCCAGCACACACAACCACACATACAAACGGGTGGACAAGTGCAAGGCAATTACGTACAGAAATGCAATACAGTGAGCAATGGCTATGACGAACTGAAAGTAAATTGTAAATTCGCATACACAGAGAAAAAAGATCACTTAAAATTGTAACCAATTTTTTTTTATTATAGAAGGAAACAAGATAAATGAACCTCAAGAAGAAATTAGAATTCGAAGAATTATACAAAAAGGGCGTAGCACTAGTTCCAGCTAATTCACCCAACAAAACATACTCATAATGTTTTTGTACGAACATACTATGTTGTTATTATCAGTAGTGACTATTTTCTTTTTCAGTATATATACTACAAAATAATTCAATATAAACATTGGAATTATTACTATATAAAAAATGAAATAAAAGTTAAATTTGGAAGTATGGATTTTATCGCATTACTTTGTATGCCTCTGTTTTGATCTAAAGATTCTATACTATGATTCAGCCTATTCAGATCTTCGAAAATCATCAAAGATTATTGATATATTGCCGTTTTTCTCTGTGTGGGTTCTAATTCGCAGTTCTCCACTGTATTGACATTTTGGTGCGCCAGTGTGGGTGAGTGGCCCCATCCGTGTGTACATATGTGTGATGGTTTTTTCCCCAAGAAATCTTACCATTGGAGCTGAGCTGATAGGTCTGCAGGATCACTCCGGAATTGGCGTCCAGGACCTTGACCGTGCTGCCGTTGTCGAACAGCAAGAGGACATTTAATTGCGGATGATAGACGACGTTGCGCATCTCGAAGGGTCGAGCTGGAGCGCTATTACAATCGCCCAGATCCAAGTAGCCATCTTGCTTGAGGACGCGCTGCTGGTGATGCTGCTCCGTGGCCATTCCGGAGGTGCGCCACTGCGGTTGGGTTCTCCTGGTTCCGGATAGGATACGCTATACGGGTTTTTCGCAATTCAATTCGGAAAATAATTGGCTGCGGAACAGAGCGCTCTGCTTCTGCTGCTTCTTCTTCTTCGTTTTGCCCCTTCTTCTTCTACCTTCTGACAGATGTGTTTGCCATTCGATTGCCACACTCGCCTGTGAATGCCAAATTAATCGAGTGCCCAGTGGGCGCTCGAGTGTGCGGAGGCGGGGGTGTGGCCACGTTTAATCAGCAAAATAAATACATTTGGAATAGAAAAATAAAAGTATTCAGTCATTTGCGAGTGGTTAGATTTGTTAACTTGGCCTACTCTGTAGCAGACTGTGGGTGCCCTCTACACCGAAAGAAAACAGGTACTTAGTTAATTTGAATGTTGTTCGGTTTCCCGCCAACATCGATGTGTAAGTGGGAAACATTTGGTTAGATTTGATAACTCGATATTTTTGTTTAATCGAAAGAATCGATAATTTAGGTACCATTTGTTTTGTCCGAGGTCTATCGACAAATTGTTAAGGTAAAATGAACATTTTACCCAAAAAACGGTGAGTTCTTGTGTTTAAACTAAAGATTCATTCTTTAAATTGTTGTGATTTTGCAGCTGGCATGTGCGCACCAAGGATAATATTGCGCGCGTGCGCCGGGATCAAGCGGCTGCGGCAGCGGAGGAGAAGATCCGCCAGGACAAATTGGAATTCGCTGTTGGTATTGCTAGAAGATCTAGAAATTCCTATTTTAATGGGTTAATTTTGTATGTAGGAAAGCGAGGCACGAATTAACTTCCTGCGCCGGCAGTCGGGTTTGCCGGAAAAGGTTTCCTGTCCCAAGAAATCCGAGGGAAAGCCCGAATCCAGCACTGAGCCAACCAAAGGAGTGGATCTCTTCGCAGACTACAAGAGTGCCGTGAAGACCACCAACAAGGACCTGGAGAAGGAGCAGAAGGAGGAGCAGGAAAAGTACGAGAAGCAGATTGGCTACCTCACCTACTTGGGCCAGGACACCAATGAAGCCCTGAAAGTGCGCAGCTGGTACGAGGTGGCACCCAAGAGGCCAGAAGTGGGGGATCCCGCCGCTACAGAGGCTTTTCTCAAGCAAAAGCTAGCCCACGATCCTCTGACCCTTATCAATGCCCTGCTGCCGCCGGAGAAGAAGGATGCCAAAAAGGCCGTCAAGAGGAAACGTGAGAGGACACCCACTCCCCCGCCAGAACCTTCAAGCTCGCATAAGCCCAAGAAAAGCAAGAAGGAGAAGAAGCACAAGAAACACAAGGGGCACAAGAGCAAAAAGGAATCCAAGGAAACCCTTCTGGACGCCGAACGCCAAAAGCGAGATAAGCTCGAAAGGCTGAGGAGGGAGCGCCTGCGACGGGAAACAGCAGAACGCCAGCGTTCCGAGGCCCTTTTTGCGCCCAAGGAGCCCGCCGTGACCGCCAGTGCAGCATCCACGCCTGCTCCTACGCCCAGGATTGTGCAAAAGTACAACAGCCAGTTCAATCCGGAGCTGGCAAAGCAAAATATGCTTTAGTTTGCTACATAAGTAGATAATTGTTTTGAATTTTACAATAGAAAGGGGATTATCTATAAAATTGTAAATAATTTAATTTTAATTTTAAATATAAACTATTGGTATTCTAACAGTTGTAACTGTGAAAATAATCGAGAATATGAAACATATTTGGCAAATTGGACCCCATTGTTCTTATCCTAGCTACATGTATAGTCCTTCCTTTGAGAACTGACGATATACATATCTTTTTAGGACCATTTTCAACTTTATCTGATCAGTAAACAGATAAATAGTATATATACTTTATGGGGTCGGAAGCCTCTTCTTCCCTGCCGCAATATTACCCAAATGCAAATTACATTTTAACTTAACACATTCAAAAGAAACGGCTGGGTTATTAACCATCACTATGCGCCTTTGTAATACAGACAATGCGCGGGGCTTAAAATCAAATTAATCACACCATTACAACATATCCCCAGGCGGGAATAGTTCGGCTGGTGTCATAATTTAAATTTAGATGAAGCGATAAATCCGGTTTAAAGATAACGGCTTCTAGATCGCTGCCAAAAAACACCAGTGTTGCACAGCGTCTAAAGCAAGCCAACTATTAGCTGTTTTCACCAACAAAATAGAAAGATACAACTAAAATAGTATTTCATAAAGATAAATTATCTTAAAAAGATACGATTAAAAAATTAACCTACCCAATTTACCACAAAACCTACGCCAGTTTGAATTGTAACGGCCGCCGCACAAATGCGCAACAGCCGGCACCAGTGTTGGAGAACGTCTGAGTTTGCGGCACATGTGAAATTCACTTTTTGGCTCGGCGTCTCCGTTTCGTTTTCTTTGTAAAAAATTGCCTGCGGGTCTGAATTTTGCTTTGAATTAACTTAATTGCTGTGTGTGGAAGACAAAAGAGCCGGGCCAAATGGATGATAATACCGAGAACGACGATGGAAAGCGCGGTGAGTGGATTTCGCGACAGGCGTTGCAAAAAAAAGCAACGGGACCAGTAGGCCGGTGCTCCGCAGTCGGCCATTTTTCGGAGCCCCTTTTCCGAAGCTCCTCACTTTTTCCCAGAAATCCAACCAAGTGGATCAATTCCCATAAGTATTAATAAGTGTTTTTACTTTGTTTCATCCAATATGGTAGTGACGCGGGCTCGCACTCGCCGCCTGTCCGTCTTGGACACGGACAGTCGTCCGAGTACTCCGCAATTGGTGGATGCGGCCGCCGAACGCGGTAAGTTGTTATTGTCTCGAAATGTTAGGGGAACCCCCTCTTAGACTCTGGTTTTCCGCCTCCATAGGTACCGCCTCGCCACGTGCCGCACGCCGCACTCGCCTCAACTCGTCCACTGTGGATGTGAGGACTCCGACCAGGACCAGACGCGCCTCCTTGGCCCGCGGTGAGACTCCCGAGCCGATCACACCCTCTTCCGTGAAGAGGACCGCTCGCACGCCTGCCAAGGCCACCAGATCCGTACGCCAACAGCTCACGCTCACCGAGGAGGCGGAGGAGGTCGAGGCCAAGCCGGAAATCCCCAGTCCCAGTCCAAGTCCAGTGCCCAAGGGCGGCAAGAGGGAGCGGAAGGCCAGTGCCACCCCAAGTCCCGTGCCTGGCCGTACGCGTACCGGCACACCCACACTGCTCAGTGGTGAGAAGCGGGTGACCCGCTCCATGTCCCAAACGCCACCAATGGCGTCCAGCAACTCATCGCCACAAGCAGTGGAGAGTGCTAAGGCTAAGACTAGTACCAGAGGCAGACCCAAAGTCGCCATCAGGGTGGAGAAACTACCGATGGACAAGACATCCGCGAAGAAGGCGGATGCGGTCAAACAATTGGTACTCCAGGAGAAACTCAAGGAAAAGGAATCCGCCGAGGAAGACGTTGGTTCTCCCAAGGATAGACAATCGTTCTTAAAGACATTCAACACACTTGCCCAAATCGAGGCTTCAAGCAATGCTTTTAAAGCTGCTGAAACCGCTGACTCTTCGGAAATTAAGGACTCGGCTACCGAAACTCCCAAGAAAACGGAAGAGAAGAAGGTCGAAACTCCACAGAAGGTTCATCCAGTGGAGACTCCCAAAATTGTAAAGAAAGATTCAGCTGCCGATACATCCAAGCAAGTCGAAACTCCCCAGAAGGTTAAACCTGTTGAGACTCCCAAAATTGTACAGAAAACGGAATCTGTTGCGGCAGCCCCCAAAAACGTAAAGAAAGTCGAAACTCCGCAAAAAATTTCAGCTATGGAGGCTCCTAAAATTGTAAAAAAAAACGAAACTCCGCAAAAGATTTCAGCTATGGAGGCTCCCAAAATTGTAAGCAAAATCAAAACTCCGCAAAAGAATTCAACAATGGAGTCTCCCAATATTCTAAAAAAAATTAAAACTCCGCAAAAGATTGTATCTGGGGAGTCTCCTAAAACTGTAAAGAAAATTGAAACTCCGCAAAAGATTTTATCTGTGGATTCTCCTAAAATTGTAAAGAAAATCGAAACTCCGCAAAAGGTTTCATCAGTGGATTCTCCTAAAATTGTAAAGAAAATTGAAACTCCGCAAAAGATTTCAGCTATGGAGGCTCCCAAAATTGTAAACAAAATCAAAACTCCGCAAAAGAATTCAACAGTGGAGTCTCCTAATATTCTAAAGAAAATTAAAACTCCGCAAAAGATTGTATCTGTGGAATCTCCTAAAAATGTAAAGAAAAGTGAAACTCCGCAAAAGATTTTATCTGTGGATTCTCCTACAATTTTAAAGAAAATCGAGACTCCGCAAAAGATTTCATCAGTGGAGTCACATAAAACTGTAAAGAAAATGGAAACTCCGCAAAAGATTTCATCAGTGGAGTCTCCTAAAATTTTAAAGAAAATGGAAACTCCGCAAAAGATTTCATCAGTGGAGTCTCCTAAAATTGTAAAGAAAATGGAAACTCCGCAAAAGGTTTCATCAGTGGAGTCTCCTAAAGTTGTACAGAAAATCGAGACTCCGCAAAAAGATCAACTTGTAGAGGTTCCTAAAACTGAAGAGAAATCCGAGATTGAGGGCCATACAATTGAAAAGAAAACACAAACTCCGCAGAAGGTTGTTTCTATTGAATTGATAGACACAAGCCCAGAAAAAGATGAGTCCATGGAGGAGCAAGAGTTTTTGGATGCAGAAGAATCGCATGTTGAGGCTGAGCCACAAGGCGAAGAGCCAATGCTGGAGGAAGAACTAGAGGAGATAATCAACCTCGACAACGATGAGCCCGTATTTTCTCCCCAGGCTGAAGATGAGGTAGATGAAAGCGAGGAAGCTCCCCAAGATGAAGCCATGGAAGTAACAGAGAAAAGCAAGGTCGACGTGACCGAGGTTGTTTATCTACCGAACCTGACTCCCGGCATTAAATCTCGTGTAGTGACCTCCCCAGTCGAACAGAAAAAATCGGTGGGCTTCAACAACGACGGTGATGACTTGGAGGTCGAAAAGACTCGTTTTCCAAAGACTCCCGGTCGAGAGAAGGTGCCAGTTTACCGCACTTTGACTCCGAAGCCAGAGACGCCATTAAAACTAGCCCTTCAAAAGGGTCGAAATAGTTCCACGCCTATAATGAAGGACCCAGAGCGAGCGCTGTCCATCAGCAAGGCGGAATTGCAGGCAGCTCCTCCCCAAATTGATGCTATTAAGTCATTCGATGAGCTGGAATCGGAGAATGGCAAGGATGAGGAGGTGCAGCCAGCCAACAAGTCAACCCGTAAGGATGTGAACGAAATCCTGGCTCGCCTCGAAAGCTCCGACGAAGTGGAGGATGCAGAAGACGAGGAGCAGCACGAAGAAGATGAAAACATTCCCGAGTTCGTGGACCTGGAAGCTGAAGATGCTGGGGATGATTACGTGTCCGGGGACTCGATGGACAGTTCGATGCGGCGGGAGATGGAGGAGAATGAAATTCCACACGATGGGGAGTCCGTTGGCAGTAAGGACACTGAAGAGTCGACCCCAGAGGAATCTGAAGGCGACGATTCCTTTATTGTCTCCGACAATGAGGAGGATTTGGGTGAACTTTGCTACTCCTCAGACGAGGAAGAAATCGAAGATGTTCCTCCTCAGAATCCCGAGAAGAACAGCAGCAAGCGTCGCCGCATTATGGTGCACAGTTCCAGTGAGGAAGAGGAGGTCGAAGACCAAGTCAAGGAGTTGAACCAGAGCAAATCGGAGAAGCCCAAGAACCAGAGCAACTGTTCCTCGAATGCCAGCAAACTAAGCGAGGCTGCCCAATTGATGAATGCCAGCGAGGAGAAGTCTTCGATCTCGGAAGCCGAACTGGAGAGATCCCGCCAAGTCGCCCTCAACGAATTGAACAAGTCCGAGAGATTTAACAAGACAGAAACGCGCCTGGACGTCAGCGTCATGGAGGTTGACTCCTCGGACCACGATGAAGTGGAGGAGGAGACCACTATGAAGTCCAAAGCTAAGGTCAACAGAAGTGTGTACGAGATCATGGACTCCGACGATGTGGAGGACATCGAGGAAGCTGGTAAGAAAGTTGATTCCGATGAGAAAGAGGAATCACATGAGAACGAAGAATCCGATGAGAAAGAGGAGTCTGCTGAGAACGAAAAATCCGATAAGAAAGATGAATCGCATGAGAACGAAGAATCCGATGCAGATGAGCCATCCGAAAACAAAGGCTCTCCTGCCACTAGAAAATCCACATCGTTCCAGGCCCAAAAATCCTCCAAATCGGCAGATGAAGAAGCTCTGCTCGCTGAATTGGCGTCTAGTAATCTGAACCACTTGGCAACAATGTTTAATCCGCTTCAGAAATCCCGTCGCCAGTCCCTGTATGTAGCTGGTACAGAGCTGGCAGCCAAGGAACCGAAATTGAGACGCCGCAGTGATCGTGCCAATGTCGCCAGTGACTTCTGTCCCTCGCAATCCTTTGTTCAGATGGTGGCCGAGAAAAAACAGCAGAAGAACAAGCGCAAGCGGCTCTCCAAGAGCTTGTCGGGCGCTCCCGAGGATCTTGAGGAAATGGAGATCCAGCACGAGCGCAAGCGTTTAAAGAGTTCGCATGATGACTCCACGGAATTTGTGGGGGAAGATCACGAGAACGAGGAGGCGTCTGTCGTCGAGGAAGATGCTAGCGAGGAGGAAGTTTCGGCAGAAGTTTCTAAAAAAGACATCGCTTCACCCCCAAAAACAAATAAGTCTCCAGAAAAAGAAGATGCCATTGAAGAATCGCCCTCGGAGGAGCCCACAACTTCTCAAGACCCGAATCCACCCGAGGAGGGTCCAAAAACTTCTAAGCCTGCTGAAAACTTGCTGGTCAACAAGGAAAAGGACGCTGAGTTTTACTTGGCATACTGTCACAATCTCTTGGAAGCAGCCAACGAGGCCAAGTTGAAGGAGAAGAAAGAGGTAGGTTCCTTTAAGCTCAAGAGAATGTTATTCACCAATGTTAAAATTTGTATATTCCTTTAGCAACTTGCCACGGGATCGAAGCCCAAGAAACCAAAGCGACTGGCTGCGCAAGCAGCTCCCAAACCCTTGGACACCGCTAGCTCCTCGAACGCCGAAAAACCGAAGGCTAAGCCTTCCGCGCAGCCACCTCCGCTCAAGAAGGACATTAAGCGTCTGCAGGCAGCACGCCAGGCTGTGAACCATGCTGTGAACCTACTCGCGCCACCAAAAGCCGCGGATGGAGAGGTGAGGAGACCACACCACTTGCCAAACTAGTCAGTAACCCAACCCTTTATCCTCCACAGCCTCGCACGCTCTCGCGCAAATTGTCGCCACAGCCGCCAGTGGTGGACAAGAATCGGCCAAGCAGAAGAAGCAGGCGAAGAAACCAAAGGCACAGGAGTCAACACCGCCAAAGAGTTCGGATGAGGAGAACCACGGCCACCGGGTTAACCGCATCCGCACAAATGCCGGCTACGTGACGGTGGTCGATGAGCCAGTTCAGAAAATTCCCAAGATCGAGCTGATCAAGACCAGTTCGGGTCTGGTGCGCGTGGAGCCGGTCACTCCCAAGCAGAAATACTTCCGTGCGCTGCCTCCTACACCAAAGTTGCATGGGTTCCGCGAGGAGCCAGGACCCTCCGGCATGTCAAGGAAGCGCTCCAAACATCCGGCAACAAAGGCGAAGATCTTGCCAAAATCAATCCCGCCAAACAGTCGGCGCTGCGCTTCAAGGAGCAGATATTTGCTCGCAAATCTTAGGATAATCGAATCTAGTATTAGCGGTTTGAAATGTCAAGTGTACACAATGCATACTTTAAATTTTTGTTTCTTTTCTTTATTTTTTCCCCCAATGTGAATTTGATTTATCTATTATTTGTTCTTTTCAATATTTGTTTTGAAACATGACTTCAACTTGCCCTTTATTATACTTTTGATCCATTACGTATTCACAGCCATCACATACACTACCCAGAAATAAATTTATGTTTGTTGAATCTGAAACCCCTATTTTCGAAAACAATGAAACCAAATATGCTGCACCTGTTTTGCACGTTGATCCAATCAATTTCACAAAGCGCTTGATACACATTTTTTTGTAGTGATATTAATTGGATGTAAAACGAATACTTTCTGTGGCGTTACGAATTAATTGTCCAGACATGTTTCAATACGTTTCATTCCAACTTTGAGCATGTAAGAAACGGAAAATAAAGGTTATTATAATTACAAAAAATACAAGAAACTTGAATAGCTTGGGGGCATCAACAATGATGAAAAAAAAACGATCCTTCATATAATTTTGACCTTTGCTTACCGAAATTGAGCTTGTTATTATTAAGCTACGGTCAGACGATCAATTTATGGTTTTCATAGAACATTTATGAAAACTAAGAACCGGAACATTTTATTTTCTTTCAAAATTCAAAATGAAATTGTAGTTTAAAAACTGAAATTGACATTAGCGAATTGAATAGGTATTGTATTTATTAATATTTATTATAAAAGTTCGTATTATAAAAATTGGTGCAGACCCCTTATATGATAAATGACATCTCCCTCCTTTATGCTTTTAATACAACTCCAAATTTTTAAATCATATACCCTTTGTTTATTTAAATTATCTAAATTCTTGGGTCAAGTAGGCTGGTGATACAAAGTCACTACATCAGAGAACGTTTCCATACGATCCCATACTTTTCAGTTGGCTGGCAGCTCGCTTCCGTCTAGATCAAATTTCGTTTCCAAAAATTTCTTGATTTGTTTTACTTCAACCAAAAAAAATGGTGTTAACTCGCAGTGCAGCAAAATTGAAACAAAGCGAAGGGGTACGTTTCTTGAATAATAGGGGTGTTGCGGAAATAATAATCCATATTTCTTAAGCCCTCGGCCGCGGAACAAAAGCAAGTCAAGACTCCCGAACCGAAGGCCCCAGCCAGTCCGCCTGTTCAGAAGCGAGGGGCAGCACCCAAACGTCGTCCTGCTCCCAAAAAGGATGTGAAGGAGCTCCAGGTGGCCCGTCAGTCGCTACGCGATGCAATGAATCTCCTGGCCGAAAAAACATCTAACGACAGGAGGTTTGTAAAGATGATATATACCATTAAAAATGTAATAACCTTTGATTTATGAAACTGCCACGGAAAAAAATGAAAAGGGGGGGAAAATGATGGTTGCCCCAAAGGCTGATAAGAAAATTCCAACTTCCCAGAATGGAAAAGCTGCCGCCAAACAGCCAGATCCAGCCACTGCCACCGGTCAGAAGGTGAGAGATATCTTATCCTATTAATTATATATAATATTGTATTTAAATATTCCCACTTCAATCTTTCACAGCCAACTAAAAAGCCCATAAAAAGAAGACGACTAGGAAGCCAAAGACCAAGGCTACTTCGCCAGTCAAAGTTCCGATGAGGAAAACAAACCAGTACGGACAAGTGCGGGCTACCTGACCATCACGGATCAGTCTCCTCGCAGGGAACCCTCCATAAATCTGACCAAAGTCAATTCGAACATCAAGCAACAGCCGCTGAAGCCTCAAGCCGATGGCAAACGTAAAAACTAGATTATGGGTAGAAACTATATTGAATCGGTTGGAAATGTACATTGTTACCTTCAATTTTTGTTTATTTACTTGATTTCTTGTTCTGTTTTCAGTTATTTTTCAAAATTTCATTTTTAAATGCAATGTTTACATGTTATTTGCATTTTACTCCTATTTTTATGCGACTTTTAGAAACCAAAGTCATAAATGAAAATCTAATACGTACATAAATAAACTTATTAAATTGCTACATTAGAAAAGCGACCGCAAACCTTGACAGCAGATCCCTTTCCAGCTTCTCAATCTGGATAACTACGGAACTATTTTATAGTGTCCTAAACTCTTTTTTCAATGAATGTGTTCCTGACAGTTTTCCTCCTAAGTTAGACAGGCCACCTTGGTTTACCAATCAGTTGCAAAGACTTAGAAACCTAAAAACAAACTTCTATAAAAAGTACAAAAGTCGGGTAGGCCATCCGATTTTTCAAGATATGTGGTGGCTCGTACTAATTTTAATGTACTTAACAGTCATTGCTATTCCATGTATTTGAACCGATGTAAATGAATTGACTGTAAATGAATTTTCAAAGGATCCGAGGCAATTTTATAACTGTCAATGCTAAGCGAAAGTCTTCAGCATTGCCCTCATCCGTACGATTAAACTCTATTGATGCATCTACGGATCCCGAAATTGCAGAGTTATTTGCTGAATTCTTCCAATCTACTTATAGTTCTGTTTCTTGGTCTAATTCTAGCTACCCTAATCACTTAAACATGGCAAATTGTATTTTTTCTCCTGTAATCACTGAAAGTTCTCTCTTAAGTGATTTAGAAACTATAACGCCAACCTATTCTCCGGGGCCAGATGGACTCCCTGGGTGTGTTCTTAAGTTTTGTGCGCGAACTATTTGTAAACCCATTCTTAAACTTTTTAGTTTGTCTATCTCATCATCTGTTTTTCCTACTATCTGGAAAGATTCTTTTATTATTCCACTCCACAAAAAGGGTGCGAAGGTTAATGTTCAGAACTATATAGAAATCTCCAAATTGTCTGCAACTCCTAAAACATTTGAACGCATTATTACCTCTCAGTTGCAACATTTGTGCTCCTCTTTAATATCGCCGTGTCAACATGGTTTTGTTAATCGTAGATCGACCACCACTAACCTGCTCGAATTGACATCTTTTGTACTAGATGGATTTAACAAAAAATTGCAGACGGACGTTATATATACAGATTTAAGTAAAGCCTTTGACTCTGTTAACCACTCTCTTCTTTTATTCAAATTAGATCAGCTTGGGTTTCCGAATAATCTGTTAACTTGGATTTCAAGTTATTTGAATGGTAGATCTCAGAGGGTTTTATTCAAAAACGCTTTTCCAAGATGATCAACGTGACATCTGGAGTGCCTCAGGGCAGTCATTTAGGCCCTTTGCTGTTTACTCTGTTTATAAATGATCTTCCTTCTATCGTAAATCACTCTCGTGTACTAATGTATGCTGATGATGTTAAGCTTTGTTTTTCATATAATAATATTGAATCTGGTTTCTGCTTTCAGTCAGACATAAATAGATTCCAGGAATGGTGTCAGTACAACCTTTTGAATTTAAACTATCTTAAATGCAACGTTATGACTTTTTATAGGGGTACGCCAACGTTCATGAGTTACTCTCTTCAGAACATGTCCTTGGACCGAATATACTCAGTAAACGATTTAGGTGTTCTCCTAGATCCTAAACTTAAATTTGACTTCCACATAACCTCTACTGTAAATAAAGCTATGAGTGTTCTTGGGTTTATAAAGTCTTTGCAGTCTAACTTTTCAGTTAAAAGGGCATATATTCTTTAATTTTAAATGTGCCTTATTCCATAGGCTCATTACATTAGGCAACGAAATGTGTTTCGTGTTCAAAGTTAAAGAAATAAAAGCAAATAAACCCTGCGTTTTTGACAACGACCCTTTTTGAAATTTTGAGATCTAACGTTTTCATTGTTGCCAAACGCTTACAGGGCCCTGTTGGGGTCGTGCCCCTGCTAATGGTCACCCTGGCTCACAACCATCTTTGGTGTTTTTCCCAAAACCCATGTGCTGCCTCACTTTATCTCTCTCAACTCTGAACTCGACGGCGGCAACAGAGAAATTCTACATTTATTTTTCTCTCAAATTTCGACCGTGGCGGGTTAGTTTTGCGCGACTCCGAATCGAATCCGACGAGGCCGGTGTTGTTGATAGCTCGATAGTTAGCGATATTCGGGCGCCATGAACGAAGGGTCCTTCCGTGGGAAATAGAAATCGAGAGGTGTGCTCAAATCGCGGATTGGAATTCCCGGGAACAACGGTGTTTCTTGCCCGTGTTTCACTTTGTGCGCGAAAAGAACCGTTGAACGGTTGCTGGAAATACAGAGTACAGGAGGAGAAGAGGACGACCGAAACTCGGGCGAAGTCAACGCAAATCGTCGATCAAAACAAAGTGCATGCTTAAAACGGAAACTATCAACATGTTCGAACTGGAGGATTATTCGAGCGGCATACATGAGGGTTTCTTCAGCAAATACGCGGTAAGAAACTGAATAAACAGCTTAATAACTTTTTGCACACATTTCGCCGGCCGGCCAATCATACACACACACACATACTCGCATGTGCGCTCGTTCGCGCACACAGACAGGCGCAATTTTTGAATTTAACGTTCAGTCTCCACGTTCCCCACACCCCCAACCGTTCCCATACCCATTCCCACCTGAACGACAAAAACCCACCACTAAGAAGAACAGTTTAACGGCGAAACTTTGGTTCCACTCGCCATCTCGCTCGCCCCTGCGGCCATCTATTCCCCGCCTCGCTCGCTCCAAAGCTTGGTTGTTGAGTCGACCGACTCGCCCTCGCCGCGTTTAACGTGCAATTTTGAATTGTGAATTCGCCGCGGCTTATTTACACGCCCGCGTGTGCGTGTGTGTGTGTTTACTTTTGATCGTTAAGCTTTGAAAATTGCCTTTTTGCTTTTCGTATTTCGCTCAATAAACGGATGATTAATTACATACAACCGGAACAGCCAGCGCCGATAAAGAATAATGGTCTTGATGTTCTATAGCGATTGTTTACTTCCTCATCTTCCGTTTGGTGTGGGGGGTTACTAACTTGGCTAGCCTCCGCGGAATTCACCTCTGTTAACCGCCTGTTAGTCGTACTAAACAGTGGATTTTAATTCACTTTTTAATCGGAGGGGATTTGCCAGTATTGTTCTACTCGTACCACTAATATACTTTAGTCTTTGTAGTTGTAGTTGTAGCCGCTCGCAATTGTTTGGCTTATTTATTTTTTGTCACACACAGCGATGGTTGAAACAATAGTGGATAATATTAACAATAGGTGTGGAAATTCCATAAATTTAACTGGGATTTTCAGCATCTTAGAAACTATAATTCCAGTAAACCATATCTTTATTATAAGAAGTATTGCTTTTCTAATGATAACAAATAAATATTGAAAAGTATTTCTAATGAGGTCAAGAGTTAAGTTATATCAAAATAATAGATTGGAATAACTCGTTTTGTTTTTAGTCAAATATTAGGAATTTCTTGATACATTAAAATGAAGACCTAGTATTCTAATACATAAATGTGGTCATTTCTCGAAATATTTAATAATAATATTTTTCAGAGACGTTCTCTTAACACAGTTTTTATTGTAAAGTTCTGGAGAGTTCTATAGAAAAACTGTAAGGAACTTGTATTACATGGCAGTGGTCTATCCAAAGGACATAGCATAATATTTTTTCAGAGAGGTTCCTTTAACACTTTCATTGTAAAATTCTAGAGAGTTCTATAGACAATTTTAAGGAACATGGCAGGGGGCGATCCAAAAGAGTGACATGGGTTCGTAGTGCTATTTCTTGGCCGCCACTGTGGCCCCGAGTATTTCTCCGCTGGTTGGCTGAGTTTTTCGTCGGGGGCCCTCTTCTTAGCTTTTGCGTTTTAAACTTTTTGAAGGCCAGGCGTTCACCTCGAACTTCTTGGTCTTCAACTGTTTTAGCCTGAGTTTAAGCCCCAACATAGTTGGCAAGTGATGATTTTGGCTAAAGATAAAAGTTTCAACTAGCTAACCGCCAAAATCGACAGTTCGTCAGAGGAACTGACCTCCAGCAAAGTTTGCATATTTTTCAATGGAAAATCACAACGTTCTTTTGAAAAACATGTGCGCCTGTTAAATGCAACATGCAAAACTCCACACACACCAAACGCAATCTACAAGTGTTGCAAATTGCGAGAGGTGTGTGTGTGGGTTTGCGAAGGGGAACAAAGAAAAGCAAACAAAATAAAATGTTTTATCTTGGGGTTTCCGCATGTGTGTGATGTGGGGTGTTTGCATGTGAGTGTGGGAACAAAACAAAAGAAAAATAAAAAAGCAACAGTCGACAGTTCCCACATCAAAAGCTTTTCTCACCCGTTGGCCATCTCTTTCGCACTGTTCTCTTTCTTCTCTTGGGTTTCGGCAACCTTTGTTGCAGCAACATGGCAAAAAAAAAACAAAGAAAAACGAAAGAAAGAAGTAAAACAAAAATCAAAGTAAAAAGCCAACAAAGAACAACTTCAAAGTTCAACGCGCTTTTTATTGGGATTTTCAGGGGTCAGGGGGTGGTCACCCACCTACCCCAAAATGCAAAGTGAGAGGGAGACAGCTAGAGGGAGAGAGGGAGAGCGATAGAGGGGCTGTGGGAGGACTGCCACTTGTGTGGTTTTCGTTCTGCTGCCGAATATGAGCGCCCAGCTGTATGCCGCATAGATTTTCTCACGGCCCCAGCACGCAGACACACATAGTACGCACACTAGCACAGTTTCTGCCCCTCTGCCACCCACACAAACACACAGATGGGGACTGGGATATTACTTATAGGGAAATCAGATTAGGTGTAACTAAACCAAAAACACCTTAGATGTATACTAAACCCATTATTAAAATAATAACAATTAATAAGATTCCACAACATTCTTGTAAGTTCTCATTTATTCTCAAAAATATGGCTTAGGATTATTAGACAACGTTTATAAAGCGCAAGTCCTAAACTTCCAATTCCACAAAATCGTATTCTTTCGACATTTTATTTGAAATATAAGGACTTATTATCTTATTTATTACCAAATCTTACTTTATATTTTTTTTTGTATATTATAATTATATTCCTATTTTTATAATTCTAAATTCTACGAAAAGGTTTAGTCCTTTATTTATTCCCTTAAAAATTAAACCTTGAAACACATTCCTTTAAATATAAACCGATTAAAAAAACCTGGAGTCGGTAATTACCATTCTTTAATTCCACGAGATAATTTGGCCAGTGACTAATTAGCCCAAAAAGACCTCATGAACATCAGCCGAAAGACCAACTTTCACAAAGGGAAAGATCAAAAATGGATTTCCTGGCTAAAAATAAACTTTTGGCAAATGAAGATTGGTGATTTCTTAAAACACATGCAGCTAATGAATGAAATAACCCGAGGGAAACTGCCTTACTTCCCGCTAAACCGAGAGATTTCAAAACGATTTACGACTTGAGATCGTAATGTGAGTTTAAGGATGTACCTTGGCTTGGGATTTGGATTTGGATTTTGGTTGGTAATGCAGGCAGGCGACTTTTATTGCACCATAAAGTAATTTACAAATGGGCGCTCATGACCTCAGGGAAGATATTGTGCTAGGATTGTTCGTGAAAGGCCCAAAGGAAATGGATGGTTTTACCTGAGTGAGGGATTTCTGCCTTTATCTGTATTCTCTGTGTGTCAGCAGAGTGATTTCGAGGTGAAAGCCGGAGAAAGATGTGAAGCAACAAGAACCAAGAAGTGCAACAAAAGACAAGCAGATGCAGGAAATATGAAAAACACGGAACAATTGCGAGTGACGAATCCTGCCGAGAAAAGGACGAAATACCCTCCTCGGTGGCTCCTTGGTTCGTTGCACAACTTAAAAAGGCCAACAACTGAGCAGCTGCAACTGGCACAACAACTTTTTGCCGGCAGGAGGAGGTAAAAAAGGCTAAAGGCAAAGAGCAGGGGGGCTGTAGGCCTTGTCGAAGTTTTACTGACAACTTTTGCATTTTCCTTTAATCCCCCTGATGGCCAAAAAGTGCTTGCTGTGAACTTTGCTCGCCTGTTCAATGCATTTTTATTTCGGCACATTTTTTCGAGAATTTTTTAGGGGGGCAGAAAATATAAAAAAAGAAGTCAAGAAGTGGAAAAGAGTGAGGGGTGTAGAGAAAGTCAGGTTTCATATATGTATCATGACTTGCTAGGCCTTTTCCTGGGCTTTCTGAGCGCCGCATGCGAAAGCCGGTTGATTTATTAGGGCTCTTGGATTCAGATTCAGATTCAGGGATTTATTAACCCTTCACCCGCACACTGTCCTCTTTTTTGCACACCCAACCAAAGAGGTGCGAAAAGTGGCAATTCCTTGGCACCGGAGGCTTGAGCAGTAAACTAATTAGAGCCAGGAAGTGCGCTTTCCGTTGGCGCAAATGCAGTTCTAAACAGTTTGCGATTCTGGAATTGCAACTTACAGCAGGAAGTAGAATAGAAAACTACAGTGGGGTCCCGATAATGCACTCTTTTGAAAAATATTTTTAAAAAATGGTATTTTAAAAAGGTTAAGGTGGTAGTTATTCCTTATAACATAGGTTTAAACAACTATTTAAAGTTAAATTTAAATTACTAATTACTTATACGCCTCGTTTGAATAAAACCATTGAGGAGTACAATTTTCCCATAATTTTCCTAAGGCAATGTAATGTGAACCCTTTGGTTTCCAGTTGTGTAATCCACTCAATCGATCACTTACTGTACCGTCAGCCACACAACAGAACTAGGGACTTATCAACCCCCGAGTTGCAGCTGCCCGAGCCTGCTGCTTCCTCTTTCCCATTCTCTTCCAATTTCGACTGCAAACTGGCAATTCAACAGAGGGCAGGCCAAAAGGTTATCACACAGACACGGAAACGCATACACACTCACCCGCTTTGGGAAGGAATTTGGCGAGGGGAGGATGAAGGGAACCGAACTCTGAGTAGGGGAAAACTGAGGAAAAGAAGAGACCTAGAGGAAAACCTCAATCATTCCATCACTCCCCATAATGGAGTGGTCTACGGGCCCGAGCAATGTCATATCATCTGAGTTCTATTTCGGTTATAATGTTCAATTAATGAGTGCGGGGGTGAGGGCGGAAGGGTTGGCCATGGGATGGGGGTTAACTGTCGGCAAAAGGTTAAAGGGTTGTCCGAATGCCAAAAAATATCGCATAATTTAGCATGAAATCTATACGAAATTGGTGAATCATAGTATAATTGGGGTAGATAGGGCGAAGGGTTGGAAATTCTAAGAATTGGATTTAATAGGGATTTAAGGGTTAAGTTTATAAAAGTGGTACACAGTATTAAAACGTTTCAAAATTCTATTATCTCATCAAAAACTTAGTATTGACCCTTGGGATAGTACTTAATTTCTTTATATCTTTCACAAACACGAATTGGCAGATGCATTTCCTTCATAATAGCATAAAGGCTGGCTGAACATCTTTTATTCACTTCCTTTAATCCAGTGGTCGGCACACACATACCATCACAGTTGCCTGCATTAGTGTGAGGTAACAACACGAGCTTGCGCGCGGCGTGCTGAAGCGAGACGTTTCTTGCTTTGCCTGAGATCCTCTGCCGCCAACAAAAAGCGCCGAAGTGAGAAAAAAACCGAAGACCATGCGAAGTCACACGAACATGTACGTATACGTGAGCGAGCAGAGGATGGGCAGAACACTCCTATGCTCACTAGATAGCCGCTGCGACCATGCTTTAATCGTAACGTCCTAGATCTACACAGTCTGGGCTTACTCATTGTTGGGTTCTTACGTCCCCCTGTCCAAATATCCATTAAACCAAATCATAAACACTTTGTCCCATTGACTCTTATCGCCACTCAATACAAATCGATTGAAAAACTGAAAAAATTGAGAAACTGCAGAGAACTGCCAGCTGCTGAAGATTGCCAGCTGTCCCAGTCTTCTGTTTTCTTTCTTCTGGCTCCCTGACTGACTCTTCCGATTCCGAGTTTCCCTTTTATCGGCTGGGTTGCATGTTGCATGGTGGCTGCATTCGAAAAGCAACAATTACTGACTCAGCCTTTTGGCCCGGCTCTTGTCTGCTTATCAGCCAAACACCTGCCGCGAGGTAATTCGATTTTGTTTCGGCCAGGATGCGCCATATGGAGGGGGGATGGTACGGTGGTGTGGTGAGGAGTGGTGGTGCTATTCGGTAAAACCATTACAAGATTGGTTAGGGAAAAGCGGGCACTCAAAGAAATATCATTATTTTAAGACAAAAACCAGTTAGTAAACCTTAACTCCTTTAGAAAATGTTTTAAGTATCGAAGTGATTTAATAGTTAGAGTTAAAAACCGAGTTTTATAGTTTCTAACCCATAAAAATAAAATTGGTTAGACGAATTAAGACTTAAAGATACAAAAAGTAGAGATACTGTATCAAAAACCTCTTAGTATTTTTAATAAGGTATTAGGTTGTTGATGAATCTTCTGAATAAGGTACAGTTTTTTAAAAATTTTGACCCTTATTTATTTTTTTAAGTTAAATTAAACTCTATTTTCCCATGTGTATTTCAATCGCTTAGTGGAAAAAATTGGGGTCTGTAAATGGGCGGAAGCACTTGGATGCCACTTGAAATTTTGAACTGACAAAACAGGGATCCACAGAATGCTCATCGCCCCTTCTCGAATTCCTCACATCCCGATTATTCCGTAACAGACACATTGGAATGGGAATGGGATTGCGACTGGGATTGGTGGTGAAGGGGTTGTGCAGATAAAGGTGCACAGTTTTTGGGGAACCCCCAGTCCTCTCCAACCTCTAGCCATCTCCTTTTTTCCCCACTGTGATAAAGGAGTCCCGAACATGCGCCTGCACCAATTTATGATATCCTGCTAAATTATGCAACTTATCACTCTCGTGTGGCGGGCTCTATATCATCCCGTTGTGTGTATATGCTCTTGTCTATCGATTTTTCGGCGTCGCCGCATAATAAAAGCACAAAAGTCGTCCTGTTCGGGGTCACCAAATGACCCCAGCCCCCTTTTTTGGGGTCAGGTCAGTGTTTTGTGCTCTGCTTCAAGGACACCTTGACATTGAACTCCCTCTCTCTCTCGCACTTCTCTCACCATCTCTCTTTCTCTCCGCCTATCCCCATCTCTGTCGCTCCTTATCTAACAGCAGCGCCACTTTTAACAGCCGCCCAAAAACTGTAAACTAACAAAAGCATCCATATCATACTACATATTGCCAACAGAGCTGCAAAAAAAAAGAGTATAAAGTCTGCAGGCAAAAGCAAAAGTACTTTGTATGTTTTTGCTTTTGCTTTACTTCGTTTCTGTTGTTTGTTGTTGTTGCTGCCCGCCTTGTGTTTTCTGTTCTCAGCAACTCGCCGCATGTTTTGTTGCCTACTGTACGCGCAACAGAGGTCGCAACTTCGCCTCTGTGGCAGCTCTGTTATGTGCGTTCTATGTTTTTGTAAATTTCCTACCCTCTCTTTCTGGCTCTCATTCTCTCTCCCTCTCGCTCAACTTCGCCGCACACATAGAGAAAAAGAGGAAAAAACAACAACTGTTTTTGTACGGCTTTAATTCCCTTTTCCCTCTGGTGTATGTATGTATGTACATTGTACATCACATGTCTGTATGTTTCCCCCCTTTTGCTGTCTTTTTCCCTCTTTTCTGCAACATGCTGCCGCAACATTTTGTGGATGTAAATCTAATATTAAGTGAGTCACTTTTGTTGAGGGGAGGATGGTAGAATTCGCCTCTCCAGGCCCCATTTATAATGCTGGTCGCGAATCGCGATCCCGCGATTCCTCGATTGTGTTGCATAAAACTTTCAATTTTTCTGATATCCGGTTTGGCCAGCGCCTTTGCTGTTGTTGCTGTGTGGCCTTCTCGCGGCCTGAACCTGGACCTCGACTCCTCCGACTCCTTTGCCTCCCACTTTTGTTTATGTTTATGTTGTGTAAATACAGCGATCGACAAAATAATAGCTACTATTGTTACTAATATTACAATAAAATGTTTGATTTACTACAAATTTACTTGTTGTGAGGTATGATTTTAATAACAAACCAAGATAAATGTCCTTAAAAGTTTTTCAAAATCGTTACTAAAAATAAAACCAAATAAAAAATTTGTTAACAAGTTAATCCTGAAAATCTTTCTTAAATTGTTAGGTATTTATATAAATTCGAATAGCTAGTATTTTTGCGACCACTATTGTTATGTACTTGCAATGTTTTGAATGTTTGTACACTCTTACATAGTTTACATATATTTATGTACACATGCAGCACCGACTCACGAAAAAAAAATTTGTTTACATGTGCCGACTTTGTTGTTGTACTGGTTCTGGTGTTGCAACATGAGTTATTTTCGTTGTTTTGTTGTCGGGCGTGCTATATGGAACTCAGAAAATATCCGAACCCCGACTTTTTCCCTTTTCCTATCCTTTTGCCGTCTGCTCGTTGTTTTTTATTTATTTTTTTTCCAGCCTGCCTGCCTTGGCGCGTAAAAAACTGGTTTTGAACTGGGATCTCTTGCTCCTGTGGTCCCTCATTTATTATTGTTGTTTTCGCTGATGTGGTTGTTGTTGTTGTTGTTGTTGTTGCTGCTGGTGGTGCCTCATATAGAAAATGAAAACCTATACGATCCCCAAAAGGCAGACATATACATATCCACATGTATCTGCACGGGGATATCGGATTCGGACCCAGATTCGAGCGACTTGTGTTACAGATTTAATCATTATAACACATATATGTGGGTCTATGTATGCATGATGATGGTATACAAAGGAATTTTATCCTACGAGAGGTGTTCTTAGGAAAATGAAAGCGCGGGAAAATTTTCTGTACGTTTTTCTAGGTTTGTTGATGTTTTGATTTGTGCTAGGCGTAGCAGAATGGATATTTGTTTGCTGAGAAATGAAATGAAATATCATCGTTGGATCTCATTTTTTGAATAAATAGGGGTTCGTTCTCTTAGTTTTTATACACATATGTAGCTTTTAACGCTTGTACAGCAAATTTATACTTCCTTATACACATATGTATATTGTTATGCTATTTTAGTAAAATTCATTTGCTACGGTTTTTTTAATTTGCTAAGCGTAATTTTTTTATTTGTTTAAACTAAATTTTCAACTAATGTATGTAATATTTTATTTAGGGTAATATCATACATCTCGTTTTGGATAAACAAAACTTGAACTCGATTTTACGGCATAGGACAAATGTCAAGTAGTGTTATTTTCATCTACTACATTGTATTTTAAAAAACAAGTTCAAGCAGATTAGATAAAACTAAAAAAAAAATAGATCGATCAATAACTAAAATATATGTCCCTTCCGTTTTGCAGGATGCGGCTGGACCCTCGCTGGACTTCTATGTGTCCGACTCGATGCAGGAGATGCTGAACGTGGACATTCGCGCAGAGATTGCAAATGTGGTGGGCAGTTCCAGCAGCGACCTCACCGCATCCCTGGATCAGACCTTGGAGGCTATCTCCGCGATCAATAACACCCAGTGCAATGGAAACAGCAGCCAGTCGGCTTCCTACAATACCAACACAAACTTCCTGACCAGCAGCGCACTTCACGCCTCGCCCACGGCCAAATGGATGGGTTCATCGGCCAGTTTTTGGTCCAACAGCGATTACTATGCGGATCTGGGCGCATGCGTAAACCCCATTTCCGTAATGCCACTGATAAACTCGTCTTCCGGATCCGGAATGTTCTCGCCAAAGAGAAACAAAACAGCCACATGCACTCAGGGAAGGGCGGGAGCGGTGCCCTCGTCTCCCACCGCCGAGAGAGATCATCCCAAGTCCCATCTGACCTTCTCGCCGGCCCAAATGAAGGTCAGTGCAGGGTCCATGCGGCGGGAGCAGGTTATGGCCCACATTCCCAAGCAAATATCGGTGGTTACTGGAACCGGTACCACAGCGCCCGCCACAATGGCCACAAATTCGGCGCTTCAACGCCGTAATTCCTCAGCCGTAGATGCAGTACGCAAGGATTTGGGCACAGAGCTGCGCAAAGCACAGTCCAGTCCGGTACCCAACTCAGTGGAGGAGCTGGGCAAGGGAAAGGGATCCACACTGCTCAGCGCAGGAGTTGGAGCCACCAACACAATTAAACTGGCACCCGGCATCGGCGGTCTGACCTTTGCCAACAGCGTTGCATACCAGAAGTTGAAGCAAACCTCTTCCGTCAAGTCACCAGGAGGCATCTCGCCAGGAGCGGGATCGAATATGGGCATCAAGCGGGAGGATTCGAACAAGCGAGGACTGCAGGCCAGCACCACACCAAAGAGTATCGCCTCGGCGGCCAACTCGCCGCACCATCAAATGCAAAGCAACTACAGTCTGGGATCACCCTCGTCCCTGTCCTCTTCATCGGCATCTTCGCCCCTGGGAAATGTCAGCAACCTGGTCAATATAGCGAATAATAACAGCACTGGAGGTGGTGCCGGTTTGGTGAAGCCCCTTCAGCAAAAGGTCAAGCTGCCAGCGGTAGGCAGTCCGTTTCCCAAGCCAGCCTACTCATACTCCTGCCTCATCGCTCTGGCCCTCAAGAATTCGCGTGCAGGATCACTGCCCGTCTCGGAAATTTACAGTTTCCTCTGCCAGCATTTCCCCTACTTCGAGAATGCCCCCAGTGGCTGGAAGAACAGTGTGCGTCACAATCTGTCCCTCAACAAATGCTTCGAGAAGATCGAGAGACCAGCCACGAATGGTAATCAGCGAAAGGGCTGCCGTTGGGCCATGAATCCTGAGCGCATTAACAAGATGGACGAAGAGGTGCAGAAGTGGTCGCGCAAGGACCCGGCTGCTATACGCGGAGCCATGGTCTATCCTCAGCACCTGGAGTCCTTGGAAAGGGGAGAGATGAAACACGGATCGGCTGATTCCGATGTGGAACTGGACTCGCAGTCAGAGATCGAGGAATCCTCGGATCTCGAGGAGCATGAATTTGAGGACACCATGGTGGATGCCATGCTGGTGGAGGAGGACGAGGAGGCCGAGGAGGAGGATGACGACGATGAGCACATACTCAGCGAGTTCGAAGCTGAGGACGAACGTCAATCCCTCGCTAATGGAAACCAGTCGAATAACCACCTGCCCATCGATCACGCACTGCTTGCCCAGAAAACCAACGACTTTGATATAGAGGTAAGTTTGAATATTCACATATTTAATGGTCCAGTACTAAAAGGCTCTTTAAATCTTCAGGTGGACGATCTGTACGATGCCATCGACATCGAGGACGACAAGGAGGCAGTGCGTCGAGTCCTTACCAACGGTCAAGCGCAGCACATAATCGAATTGAATCCGGCCGATTTGAATGCTACCGATGGCTACCACCAGCAGCAGCCTCCATCGAAGCGGGCTCGCGTAGACATCAACTATGCGATTGGCCCGGCTGGTGAACTGGAGCAGCAGTATGGTCAGAAGGTGAAGGTGCAGCAGGTCACACAGCCGCAGCAGCATCCGCCCACCTACAACCGGCGGAAGATGCCGCTGGTCAACCGCATCATCTAGAGCGGGGCGCAGCCCCCCAACACATTACATTAATCACTTAGTGCTAGGTCTTTGGTATATAAGGAACCCTTGCTACGCTTAAACTTAATCCCTAAGGCCCCCCTCATCCAATATCGAATATCAGTTTTCGGTTTCGTGTGCAGAGCCCAATAATGTTATTTAATCCCCCTCACTTTATTTGTAGTTCAGTTAGGCTGTCGGTTGATTTTAAATCTCGATTCGAGCCCGAGCCAACTGAAAAAGAATGAGAGCTTGTGCCCTCTGTTTTTGGTTAATTTGAATCTTTTCTTTTCTTTAGTCGCTTCTCGAATAAATCTTTATAAATAATGTTACACAAATACCCGAAATTTTGTTCCACTTGACGATACTTCGAGTCCGCTTTGCATGACGCTTGAGCAGAAAAACTCAATAGGTTCCACTGACGAAGCATTAGCATGTTAATACTTATTTTTCCCGTCTTGAATTTTACTTTTTGATTTGATCTCCTACTGACAAATGAAATTTCATCCTCAATTGATAAGAAACTTGACAATGCATTTATGACAAATGATTCCACGCGTAGTCGTAGAATAATATTAATGTGCAACACAACGATTATTTTGACAACGAAATGTGAACAGTAGGTTTATATTTCCACCTTTTGTTGATTATTTCACCCATTGGTGACAATTTGCATTTGCGAACATTTTCAGCTTAAATTTAAGATTAAGAAAGTTGAAAGAGAATTGATCACACATACTTGCCGGTCCAGTATTCGTATGCGAGTTATAATGCGGATTTTTTTATAGAACTTTTGTATGTATTGTACTATATATATGAAAAAGACACAGCAAACCAACAATTATTGTCGGAAAGTTCAGTCAATTAATTATACGGTTATTTTGTAAGCCGGTTCGGAATGTAAATAGTTTACACGCAGATAAAAACTTGTATACTATGTTTTAGCTGTAAGTGAAATGTATGTAAAATTATTTGTAAGCCAAACCCGAATTCCAAATGAAACGACAAGATCCGAAAACCAATAAGACTTGAAAGAAGCGTACCCGACTAATAAACATGATCAAGCCTCAGAAGTAAATAGTACAAAGTTACGGGCAAGTAAAAGAAAGCATTTACACAGCCAGCTCATGGATGGCTCATGGAATAAACCATTTTTGTTATTATCCTTTACTCATCTGATGTTTCGACTCAGCTTTCGCATTCAACAATTCCATTTACAAACCAACAACATTCATGCATTTATTTGTTGTAATATTAGCACCTAAATAGCATTACAAAAATGTATCCGTAAGCAAAACTATGTAAATCATTAAGCTAAGAAAGAACAATTTTTGTATAGAGTTGTTAGAAAATCAATTGACAAAACAAAATTGAAACCAAAAAAAAATTAATAAAATAAAATGACACTAAACATTTTAATTATTTGACTTTTGAATTAAACTCTGAAGTCTGCGTACATAAATCCAGAATGCTTATGTTAAAATACCATTCATTGTTTAAGAAACAAAGAACTGAAACTCGATTAAAAAAAAAAAAAGTTGAATTAAAATTCGAGGGCTTAGTGAGAAATTAAATAGGGTTTTGTCCAGCAGTTTCCAACGTTATAAATTATGTAATTCTTTCTTTTAATAGGCCATGAAATTGCACTGAAAATGTTTATCCCACACAAATTAATCCCTTCATTAAATTGCCATAATTATTTGATTTTGGCGGGACTTAACCGAAAATGGCCTTTGAATGCCCCCAATGTAAGTAATTTTAAGGAGTTGGCAGCCCCCTTTCATTTCAGTGTTGAAAAGCAATACACAATATGGTTTGACATAAGTAATTTTAAGGAGTTGGCAGCTCCATTACATCTGAGTGCTGGAAAGTTACTCACAATATGGTTAAAAAAAGATCAAAATTCTCGGAACTGTTTATTAATTTCATCATTCTGTTGCATTTTAAACCAATATTGGCGATACCAATGTATGGATATAACTAGGAAACATGGAAAGCCACTCGAAAAAGGTATGATAAAACAGGTGGAAAAGATTGGGATGTCATTCTTATAGCCCTGATGTGTGTGTGTGTATGAAGAGCCGTTTGCATGTGCTCGTGTATAAAAGTTTTTTTTTTATTATAAAAATCCTCGCAGCTAACAATAAGTAAATTACAAACTTTAGTTATTTATTATATATATGTTTATTTTGTATTTTTTAGAAGTCCTATTTGAGATTTTATTTAAAACAACGAATAATCGACTATAAAAAGAAAAGGCTGGCTCTTAAAGAAAAGAAGAATGAGCTGCAGTTTGAAAAAGCGCTTTTAAAAATAGCCGAAATGGAAGTAAAGCGGAAAGAGAGAACATTATCATCCAGTTCTTCGACGTCCTTCAGCTCATCGTCGTCATCCAGTTTGATCTACAACATGACTTCATCATCCCGCAACGCCTCTCCAAAACCTGACGTGGATCAAAATGAAGATGCTTTTCCTCTCGGACCCTCTTTAAAGTCCTCCACACCGCGCCGCACAGCCTCTAAAAACCCAAGTTCTACTATAACTTCCCCGGCTACCGAAAGTCCGAACACCGAAACACAGGCCACTAAGTACGACGACTGCTTGAAACCTTCAATGGAGTTGGCGGTCCAAATTAAAAACAATGAATGGAAGTTACCGGCCCTTACTCGAGATCAATGTCGTGTTTGTAGAAAAAAAAGAGTTTCTTCAAGCTGCTCGAGTCACGTATGCGACCCGGAAAGGCTAGACCTTGGATGCTATTGTGGTTTTTTGACACACGGATCCCTCTCGTTTTATGGACACAAGGCAAGTTGTACATTCAAAGCCAACGACATGGTACGCGTTAATAAACCGGAAGAAAATGGCTCTTCCGAGAAGCTATCCACTCCAATGGGTAGTATTAGCAATCTCGATCCTGACCACATAAACTCTGGTTACATAATGGATACTGGTTTGGGTGATAAACATGCTTTTGAGGACAAAATACTTGATGGGAATATAGTCGTGTCTGAGGAGTCGCCTGACATGGAGTACGACTTTGCCGAGTTTTGGGAAGACGATGAATGCATCGAATGGATCAGCGTAGAAGAAGCAGGGATGGAGGAGTTTGAGGATGCTAGGCCCACCAGCATGGCAAGGAGAAGTACATTGTGATCGAGCTTCCGGACAACGGTTATCTTTATTGCATGCCACCGAAAAACCACCGAAGCATTTGCTTAATTTATCAGATCTTGACAATCCGTACAACGATCCAAACTTTCTTTAATTCCCGTTTTTTTTACAGCGTATTTTATTAATACCAAATTCATGAATTAATAATTTGTACCCAGATACTTTAGGGAAATCTTGCTATAAGTGCTTGTAATCTGCAAAATCCATTTAATATTGAATATAAGTTTTCAGTTTTGTGCGATCAATTTTATTTTCATTTTTATATATTTTTATAATATTTTGCTCTATAACTCTCTTCCAATCCAAGTCCTCACTTCCTGTGAATGGTTATGCTTTTCGTTTGACTTTAATTAAATCTGAAAATTAAATACTTAGAATTATTATTATTTAGGCAATAAAACAGTCTGCTTTATTATTTCTTTGACGGTTTTTATTTCACATACATAAATAGTTTTGACATTTTAAAATTTTCAGTTTTCGATTTACTTTTATTTTTCAACAACCAATAGAACTTAGATGCTAGTTAAGCATTTGCATTTTGAGCAGAACCAGTTCCCCGCAAGGGGAATACAAGTTATTATCGTCGATTTCTTGTGCCGAACGGAGCATATAGTTCAGATGTGTGCTTTAGGACTAGACAATTGGGTGTCGATGCAGATCTGCACACCGAACCCCATTCAGTTGACTAATGCTAGTTAGTTGACTTAAAAAACTGTTTCGCTTGCTGCTTGGTACTCTTACCCAAAATGGCATAAAATACTCTGATGAGCGCCTCTCTGTTAAAATACATGTTTCGTAATAAAATGATTCCTTGTAGTTAAAATATACATATACATTTATGTATCTTTATATATATCATTTATATTTATATATATTAGTTATGGTAAATTGTATTGTTTCAAAATTGAGTGTTGATCTTTGCACATTTAAGGCCTGTTGTTCCTTTTCAATTTGAGCAAGCTGTTCGTTGTGAGCTGTGTTCCATCGCTATAACCTATTGACCCCCCTGACTAAATCCTCTGAGTGCGCGTGTGGGTGTTAAGACTATGTGTGTGGGGTGTGGAGTGCGCCGTGCGCTATGATATACAAGATCGTTTGTTGAAACCAGACAAAACTGATGCCACCGCCGAACCCATCGTTATAGTAGACAGTTGATTACAATTATTAATGCACATGTACTTAAACTAAAGCGTATCCTACGAATACAGATCAGGGCAGACAAGGCCAGACGCTGCTGCCGAGCTGGCTTTCAACTTGCCTGCTTTCTGGACGGCTCTTCACTTCGATGCGGGGGCAGTCCAATACTCTAAAGATTCCAGTTAAAGCTATCTTGGGCGGTTGGATAATTTTCTTGAAAATATTACTTGTATTAATAGTAATAGTACATACAAAAACAATACTTGGTTAACATGGCTTTTACCAAGAAAATATTTCTTATGGGGAGAATCTAATTTTAATAAATTTAACATTATCTTTCATTCCATATTTATGAAATTTAATCAAAATGTGCCCTAAGAAGATAACTTTGTTTTCCAAACTCCTTTAAAAAATACATGGCATGCATACTTAGAAAAAATTAAACAATGGATGCTACCGTCCAAGAGAGCCCTCACTGCATATGAGTTCGGAATCTGCCTAAAACTAACCACTAAAATTTTGACTGACTACGCTGCTGGTGCGAGAACTTAGGGCTAAAAACTAGCACACGGATACGGTACGGTTACGGATATACAACACGGATCCACTAGTAAATGCAGAGCTGAACGACTGGTGACGACAGGGGCTGGGGGTGCACACTGATGGGGACAACGATTACTGGTTACATATACACTACGAGTACTCCGCTCAATGCCAGCCACTGCAGCCGCAGCCACATCCCGATCTCGGGGCCTCATTCCTGCTTCAGTCGCTTGGCCTCGTTGCCCACGTCGCCGCCACTGCTGGCCGAGCTGGGCGTCGTCTGCTGCTCCGTGTCGCTGGTGATGTAGGCGAACTGGCACTCGAACTCAAAGTCCATGTCCTTTTTCTGCAAATAAAAATTAAAAGGTATTTTGAATATGATCTAAGCAACAATGGCTTCTGTTTAATTACCATCCTTTCACAGATAACCGCAATGGCTGTTTTGTCTTGGGCCTCGGCAATCTTGTGCTCCACCAGGTAGAACATGTACTCATCGAACAGCAGACGAATGAGATGGAAGCTGCCGAAACTGGAGGCGGATCGCAGGGTCAGGTCCCGAATGATCATCGAGCTGTAGAAGCTCCACTTTAGCAGAAACTGACGGGCTGCCCTGGCATAGGTTGGCTTTCCGTTGTACTCCTCCATGGCCGACTCCACCACCAGTTGCAGCCATGTGGCCCACTGCTCCAGGGAGCTCTGTTGCTGCAGCGCCGCCTTGAAGTCGCTCTCCAAACGCTGCACTACGGCGGGGGCACACTGACTAACCCAGGCGGCTTGTTCCTGCGGGTTAAACGGGTCAATTAGTTATATTTAAGGAATATTTGGTAAGAAGATAGCATCAATCGTAAAATTATAATCACGATCTATGAGCAGAAACTCACCTGAACATTGTGAAAATCCACGCGATTGAGATCGCTGAGCATTTGGGAGATCTGAGCGCCATTCTGGAGCACGGCTCGAGCGGCCTGGGCCAGGTGATTCAACGAAGTGTAGCGCCGCAGCGTTTGGCAGAAGGCTGAGACGGCACTGGTCTTGATTTGGGCCAGTTGCTCCGGCACGCCCAGCATGCTCTCGCACAGCCAGATCTCCAGGTTCTTGGCAAAGTTGCGGATGGCCTGGGTCAGGGCGTTCGGTATGGAGCGGAGCACATCCGGTATGATGACATCAACGGTGTTCTGGTAGAACTGGTAGTCCACCTGGTCAGGGAATAAACACAATAAATTAAAACTTTATTGGAGGAAAACATTTTGAAAGATTAAAGTTATGGGATCTATAGTTAGGAACTTTTAGTTAGCTTTAATATTATAATTTCTGAAAATGTTTCCCAATTCAATTTAAGTTTGTTAAAGGAAAAAATAGTAAGGCTTTATATTTTAAGTATGAAAAGTTAACAAAAATGTTAGAGTAAAAATGTAAAAAAAGAAACCTTGAGCATGAGAAGTAGTTATAATTTGTAAATAAATTCATTCAAAATAAATTTTAGCTTTTGTGACAATTTCTCTAAAATGGCTTTCGTTTCTGAATGAAACCTGTAAAAGTTTTCGAAACCCGGAATAGAATGGCCCCCGGAGTCTGACCCCCGGCTACCATTGGCTACCAATCCGGTCCACCCACCTCTCGCACGAACTTCTGCACTTCTGCGCAGTGGCACAACAGATACAGCTTCGTCTTGCTCAAGTACTTCTCCTCCTCGCACTCGTCCAGGTTGTTGTTGTCGCTGGCCCGCCAGAAGTCCCGGAGCAGGAACTCCACGGTGTTGAACTCCAGGTTGAGCACGGCGTCCAGGAAGGACTCGCAGTGCTCGCGGTAGAGGGCCCGGAATGTGTCCACGTCCTCCAAAGTCAGTTCGCTGTTGAAACTGTGGTTCAACTCGATGGCCGGAAACGAGGGCAGAGCACTGGTGCCATCGCCAATGTACTGGGGACGAAAAGAGAAAAAATCAATCAATATATGGTATCGGTTTCAGATGTCTATTTAAAAAATCTGTACGGTTTAAGGAAGGAACATTAAGACAAATAGAAATCATTCTTTCACTCTTTTGAAACCTTACTTATACCTTTTTTTATGTCAAAAATTAATATTTCATTTTGAAAATATATTTTACAAATCTAGATTTAATTTTCACTTTAAAAACCAATTAGTTTTAAGGCTTTTCAAACTTGTAAACCTTTAATACAAAAAAATAAAAATAAATCGCGTATCTTTCACATTTTAGATAACTTAAAGACAAATGGCGGTTATTCTTTCATAATTTTAAAACCACACGTTAACTGTCATTTATTTAAAAATCAATATTTAATTTTGAAAATATACTATCAAAATCTAAACGTAATTTTCAGTTTTCAGGCAAACTAGATTTACTTTATGGCATTGAAACGTGTCTTTTAATTCAAAAGATGTGAGATATCTTAAGGAAAAAAGATTTTTAATCTAACAAGGAACATATTTTTTTAAATTACGTAATATATTTATTTCAATCAATCAATCGATTAATTAAAGTTTTAATTTAGTTTTCTTATTAAATTATCGGCATCCCTACCTGAATGCATGCCTCGTAGGTCTCCGGCTTGAAGGTGTGCTTCTTGGTGCCGCCGTGCCGCTGGCCTTGGCCACCGCCGAGTCCATTTGAACCTCCCAGTTGTCCAGCTGTGCTGCTGGTCACGCTGACCATGGGCCCACTGCCGGGTCCACCGGATCCGGATCCAGAGCCATCCCCCGGGCCCCCATAGCCGGCGGTCAGCATCTGCTTGTCGTCCATGGACTGGCTGTTCAGCAGCGAGCCAGGCTTGATGCGGATGCCATAATAGTGGTACTTGGAGTTGCCGCGCGTGCCCAGGCGACGTGTGCGCAGTCCGGAGAACACGGAACGTATCAGCTTGCCGAAGCTGGCGGCATTCACGGGCTCCAGCTTGTGCTCGCTGCAGTGCTGCATGTAATGGTTGTACAGCGTGCTCCTGGGCAGGCTCACCCCGTCCGCCGTTTCGTAGTTGCGCGACAGCCACTTGATCTGAATGAGAGAGAGAGATATGTACATAGGGGGTGCATTATTGGGGGATGCTGTCCATCGGGGGGCGATGACTGGTAGCCATGGGGATGTACTCACCGTTGCCGAGGCAATCTTGTTGCTGCTGCCGAGCGCACTCTGGTCGGAATCTGGGGAGGCGCCTCCGCCGCCCGTTCCCAGGCTGCCGCCGCTGGCCGAGTGGGTCGTGGTCGTCGAGGTGGGCGTCTGGGGCGTGCTCTGCGCCTCCTGGATGTACGCGACCTCCTGCACCCAGTGGCGATTAGTTCCGTTCACCCGGTCCGCATCCCGCTCCCAATCCCTGCTACTCACCGTCAGGCTGTGCGGCGAATCGCGTCCATGCGACTGCGACTGTGACTGCGACTGCGACAGCGAGTGTGCGGAGCCATTGAGCAGGATGCCCTCCTCCACGGGCACCAAATACGGCAGCGTCGTGGAGTGGGCTCCGTTCGAGGAGCCGCCGGCTGACGAGGTGGCTCCGTACTGGCCCGTGGTTGAGTAGTAGGCCGTCTG